GAGAGAAGAGAAGGCGTCACGTGTGTTTGTGTTATGTGACGAAACTAGAATGTGAAATGTTTTTTCGAGTCAGCACAATAATGAATTGTAATATATAACAGAAATTGCTAAGAAATTGTGCGCTTGGTAATTGATCCTTTCTTTTTTTTGTTTCTTGCTTTGTGTATTTTATTTATTTTATTTGAATGAAATGTCTTCCTTAGTTTTTATTTTTGTGTTTAAAATGCGATGAGAATTTCAGATGCAGCTTGAGGTATGAAGTAATTGTGATTGTGGTAAAAGTGTGTGTACAAAAGAAAGTAGAGGTGGTTTTCTTCCGCGTTGCACTCGGTCGGGTGCACTTTTTGCGATTGGTTTTGTGCGAATTACGCAATTTGCAATCAAACGCGAAGTCTTATAATTGCATCGAGAAAATTGATTTTCATTGTGTCTTTGTTTTATTAATTAACTAAAGTTTCTAGTAATGGAAGTTATAAATAACTTGCAAATAGAGTTATTGTTTTGTTTAGTTATTTAGAAAAAATAAATCAGTTATCTGCTAATTTACTACATTTTAAGAAGTTTCTTTTTGTTTTTCATGAAATTTGAATTTTTGAATGCGCAACACACATTTTTTCTTTATTTAGCGCAGAGTTGTTGATTTTTTAAATAAAAATACACTGAAAATTGCGAAAAACCCTAAATCAGAACTAAAAACAAGGAAAATCTATTTTTTACCTTTTAAATGAATAATTTCTGCAGAAATATCTAAATAACTGTGACTAATTTTTATTTCCTAGCATTTTAAAGCACGGTTAACAAAAATAACAATTGAATCAGCTGTGCAATAATAAAAACTGAAAATTTTTCTTAAAATATTACAAAAATTAAAATAAAAACAATTTTTTTCCTAATATTTTACCTCAGATGATATTTTTTACTAAAATTTATTTAAAACAAAAACCTATTTACTAATATTTAGCAGCATAACTTGCTGGAATGAAAGTGCATCGCATTTCACACACGATTAACTCATTTGCAAGGTTGGATTGGCACGCTGCGCTCGCGTTTGCCAAACCGAGCAGCGCGCCGAAAGAAAGTACGAGTTAAATTACATAAACGCGCCTGATTAACCGACGCCGCCGTTGCCAAAGGTAGATTTGCATTTGCATGAGCGTGGAATTCGCTTCCAGCAAATCACGATCCGTCAAGCTTAAAGCAAGCATTCTCGGATGGTGAAAGAAAAGAAAGTCTTCTGCTGTTCGAACCGCAGAAAAGACGACGTAATTTCTAAAAATTTCGACATTTTCATCATCGCCGCATTTACGCTCATAATTTAATAACTAATTTGATTTGTTGATTTGTCAGACAGTGTGTAACTGGCTGTGAAATACGGTAATTATATGGATGTGTGAGTACACACACTACAACTGATGTGGAAACACTGCAATGACACCACACTTGTGATACCTTCGGATGGAGGATTGGGAAATACACGACGTTTTCGTTGGTCTCGCCTTTCTTACTTCTCGTACTCTCAGGTGTGTGTGGCTGTTTGCTGGAGCAACCGGAGCTGATTTCACACATCGTGCATGATTTTTTTTCTTCTCGCTTCTTTCAACGAACAATTTCTCAAGTGCGAAAACGCCCAGCAGTGCACACACATACAGTATTTCTTCACTCTTCAATCTCTTCAATTCGAAACATTAGCAAACAAATTGTAACAGATTAAAACTACAGAGTGTCATTTTAATGTCTTAAAAACTTTATTTTAATATAAGCTGAATTTTTTATTTTAGCACCACTTTTTTCACGGTTTTATGCACGAAAAATGGCATTTTAGTCACGGGCGGTCAAAGCCGTGACTAAAGTACTTTTTCATGTATTCTGCGAACGAAATTTGAAGTTTTTTAATACAAAAATTCAAATAAAAAACTTCAACAGTGCTAAACGTTATTAAAATGCCATTTAGCGCACTTGTTACTTAATATACTATTATATTAGTAATATTGAGTGATTTTGATTGTTTTCTAGAGCACTTGGTGTATAGTTGAACAAAGCACACGCCTTGTTTTTCAGGTGTGGTCCGAAGTGAACTGAATGCGCACTTATTTATTATGCGCTTTAATACTTCTACTACTGATGGAATAATGTCAGTGATCTTATTAGCGAATTGTTGATGTTGATGTGGATGTAATTGTCCAGCTTCTGGGTGCGATTTAAAATTATTATTTGAAATTTGAAATTTTCGTAAATTTTATCTGCAGATAATGGAAACTAATGGAATCATGTTGCTAGTTTTGTATAATATGTGAATGTTTTATTTGCACAATTCAATTCGGTTTCAATTTGTGGCATTATTGCGCTCGCTTGCTGAACACAATGTGTCATAATAGTGTTTGGGTCTGGCTGTGTGCGGCTCTGTGCAAATCGATCGGACCAGCAGCAACTCGAAAATTGCCCATTAATAAGCGGCGCACGTTTTCGCACATTCGTAAAATGTTCGGTTTTTATTTGGCTCATTGGCTCTGCGAGTGTTTGAATCGCGCCGACTTTCAATGACCAACTGGAGAGTATGATTGCACAAACAATTATATTAGTAATAATAACGCACTGTTTTTGGATTTGGATGGTATTGAGTTACCCGCGAGAGAATTGCATAATTATTGTTATTCGTTGATAATTCGAAAATTATTTGTGGTAGAGTATTGATTCTTTCAAAAATTGATTTTGTATTAAATTTTATATTTGATTCTTAAAAATTTTGTAGGTGTGATTATTCGATTAAAAGTTATAAACAATTAAAGTTGGATTTTGTGAAAAAAATTGAATTTTTTCGACAAATTTGTTTATAACTTTTGAATATAAAATGCCCTAAACAATATTTTACTACTATTTGACAGAGAATTTTACGCTGAATATATTTATGAAAAGATAATTATTATAACTTGATTCGTTTTTGAGTTATTGCTAAAATATGATGAATTAAAATTAGATGTTCCAAAAAAAATTCCTAATTTTTTTCACAAAATTGTTTATAACTTTTGAACAGAAAATGTTAAAAACAATATTTTACTGTTATTTGACAGAGAATTTAATGCAGAATATAATTCTGATAAGATATTCATTCGAACATTGTTGGTTTTTAAGATATTAACAATTAAAATTGCATTTTCAGCAAAAAAATTAATTTTTACCACAAATATGTTGATAACTTTTGATTAAAGATTATTATAAACCAAATTGAAGTATTTTTTGATAGAGAATTTAATACCGAATATATTTATGAAAAGATACTTAAAATTCCTTGATTGGTTTTTATGTTATTGATTAATAACGCAATTTTTATCATGAAAATAATTGCAATTGAAACTGGAACCTACTCGCTACTCTCCCATGTCTGTTACCTAATCAGTTTTGAAATACATCAGAGAGATATCGACTACATATTGGCAACACATATTCATACAGTATCAAATTCGAGCCGATTTCTTCACCCATTCGCCATGTCGAGTGGCGTTGTTGAGCTGTGCCTACATGTCGATTAATATTCCGCTGTGCTCCCGATATATATCGAAAATATCTCCTTTGTCCGCCGCAGCGCACCATATTTTGCCGAATGCGTGTGTGCATTATTTTTGCCCCGATGACCAAGCAGAACGTGACATGTCTGCCTATGTGTGATGATGATGATGATGATTTTCGACCGATACAATTGCATCATCGCCGCGGATGGACATATCGGGCGTGTGGAATGGAATGTTTATTATGTCGAATTACAAATTGTTTCGACTTTCGACGTGGACGCACGTTTGCCAATGGATAAATGGATAAATCTTAGAAATTGCTTCATTTGTGTTTTGCTTAATGTGCGCTATTTCTATCTATGGCTTGGATTAATATTAAAATATTAATCATTGCATAGTTAATATATATTAGAATAATGAAAGTTCAGGGTATTTTATAACTAATATTACAAAAGTGAATGTTTGTTACTCTTTCACGACTAAACCAATCAAGTGATTTTGATGAATTTTCAGATAAATGTAGATTAGATTATGGAAAATGACATAGACTACTTTTTACCACGAAAATAAAATTTTGAAGGGTTGAAACAAGGGTTGAAAGTTGACATTTAGGAGAAATTAGTTATAATTGCATAATTTGAACCTAGATGGAGCTGAAATGCCATTATTTACATTTTTGTTTTTGTATCTTTTTAGATAATATTATAATAGTGTATGTTTGTTACTATTTCACGCCTGAATTACTTTATCAATTATGATAAATTTTGGTATAAAGATAGATTATATTTAGGGAAAAGACATAGACTACATTTTATCGCCAAAAAAATATTTTAAAGGGCTAAAACAAGGGTCATCCCCTTATGTTTGCATAATTTCACTCTAGATGGCGGTAAAATCCATTTATTTGCATTAAATTTACGAAATAAACTATTTTGTAAATAATACACACTCTGCAGGGACAAATCACTAGTTTTATTTATTATTATTATTATTATGATTATTATTCTTTCTGCGCATGCAAATGTCACACGTCGAATGTGTCAGTTTAATACGCGTATTGCACGCATAATTCAATAATTACTCAGTCGAGTTGACTTTTGTTCGAGTTGCAGCGCTTTCTAGAGCTTTGATTTATCCGCAATACCTTCGCCTGACATGATTTTACTCTCCACTTTAAAAAAACGCATGCGTACTTACCAAACCCAACAACGCAGAGCAATATGGATGTGTAAATTGTGTAAATAAGCCGACGCGAAACATTTTGCAACTCGCTCTCGCATGGGCACGAGTCACTTGCAGCTCGTAACTTGTGAGCGAATTAAATTATTATTACAAACCTGAAGAGTGTTGCAAGATGTAGAGCTTTCGAGTGAGGTTAGGTGCGGTGTTGCGTAACCTCAACATGCACACGCCCGTCAATCATGTTATTAATATCGAAACAAATGAAATATGACATGGTGTTTATTTATTTTATGGTTTTTCTGGTTGTTTCAGGACGGAGTTAAAGCTAGAATCACTCGAAGACGCCGTTGTGCTCGAGGATGAAGACAGTGATTGGCTGCATGATAAGCGGGGGTGTCCTGCTTACGTGAGTCCTGAAATCCTCAAAGCCGGCGCGCATTATTCGGGCAAAGCTGCGGATATGTGGTCGTTGGGTGTTATACTTTACACTATGCTCGTTGGAAGGTAAGATTTTTGTTAATTTACTTTTTTAATTGAAATTGTATGTTTGTGTCACTTTCACGCGGAAACCACTAATCGGATCATCATGAAATTTTGTATTAATATTCTCAAGGATATTGAGGAGAACATAGGATATTTTTTATTTAAAAAAATTTAGATGCGCAGGTGTAAAATGTCTTCAAAATGATTTCGATCATTTAAATTTTATGAAAACTGAAAGTTTAACTTGTAGACCTGTCAAAGGGTAGTGCTGGTGCTTCACTAGTCGTTAGTTAATTCGGCAGGTGAACTCTTTCCATCTCTTTCATTCTTTCTTCTTTGTGAAAGAGTTTGTTACTATATTTACTATAAGAAATGCATGATGATGCATCGATGCACCTTGCGCTGGTTGTGAAATTCCGAAGAGTCCCTGTGGCCCCCCATTAAAATTTCAAAATCTTGATTCGTTCGAAATGTGCGCTGGCAAAATGTGTAGCAACATAGCTTTGTACGAGTAGTAGCATCATAGTGCCTGAGTGAGTGACTCAGTCAGTGTGTGTTGGTTTTTTTACCTGAAGTCTTTTTGGGATCGCTTTTTCAGCTTCTCTTCTCTTATCATGCTCGTTTTGTATCGCGTCTACGTTTTTTTTTTCATTCGGTTAGTTTGCGTGTTTCTTATTTCTATTCTTGCTTGTCGTGCATTTTGTGATGTGTGGGGCTTCGTATGCGGGCCTGCATCTTGCGGCAGGTGCAGAATTTCAAGGGTTTATCTTATCGGCATACGTAGGTCGAAAAGGCCGAAATCGCCTAAGCTAACGTCGGCGTCTTCTTTTTTCGTGAGGCATCTAATTTATTAATTGCGGCAGGTGCTTGCGTACAAAATGCCATGATTTTAGCTTGATTTTTGTTTTCTGTTGCAGACCACGCAAAATTCATATTCAGAGCATGTGTTTATTAAAATATTAAATCAATAAGTTTGGTTTTTATTGAGTTAACGTCATCATTTATTTAATTTACATTTTTAAATATCGTGTTATGTTGCAAATTATTTTATGTTTTGGCATTTTTCGATGTATTGGCATTTTCAACAGTCGATTAAAAATGGAAATAAATAAATAAATGCTGAATGTTTTGAATTTTTAAAGAATTGCTGTGTTTTGATTGGACTTTTGTCAATTTTGATGACTCAGAGAATAAGATCATCGCCACACCGAAAGTCGTCTCGACCCGTTTTAACCTTTCCCAAAAATGCAAAGCCTGCAACTTGTTAAACTCGGCAAATAAGGTGTTATTATCATCGTCTCTTGTCCACGTCCACCCAACACGCGCACATCTTACACACACTTTCGTTTTGTTATTTTGTAATTTCGCAATTTTCTCCGAAACAGTTTTAAAACTCTACCGCCTTCCGAAATTAAGCCGCTCGCTTCCATTTTCACGAAGCAATTTAAATTTTACATTTTGAGATATGCAGTAAATTTGAAACTTTTTTTGCGCGTGCGTTCAAAGCGTTCGTAAAACAACATACGAAACGATGATCGAATAATCACCGAAGAGACAAAAATACTTAATACGTATTCGTTTGGGGCGAGCGTTCGAATGGAATTTGGAATCGAGAAGCGAACAGGAAGACGGCGAGTCACATTCAGCTCGCAAAAAATTCGAGAACACGTTCGACGCAAAACACCAACCAACGAGCAACACACATGTATATTTTAAAATTCGAACGCACGTCGAACAGATGACGTCAGCATTTATATTCATTCCGCTATTCACATTCACAGGATGTTCTAGTGCTAAATTTTGCTGTTCATTATTATTAAATGCTTAGGTTTTTATATTTAAAGAAACTTGAGTCAGGGAATACAGAATACACATCATATATTTATTTTTATTCTTGAATGTGGATTATTTTACGAAAAAAGACCTGCAAAATACGAAAAATAGCCAAAATATGTAAATGACCAATCAGAGCGAATAACTCAACACTGACGTCACTTCCCCCACCTCGACCCCATCAGATATGGGGAGAAATACAAGCAAGAAGCAATTTGGTTGTTATTTATTTGGATTTAATTAATTTTTCATCGTTTTGGTTAAAAAAATCATCAAGTTTTCTATCTTGCTAACTCAATATTGACGTCAGAACCAATTTAATATAATTTTTAACACCATAAAACCACAGTTTCTGCAAAAATATATTTTTTTCTTGTGAATAATATCTATTTCCGTGCATTTATCACCCAACTAGTTTAATTAACAAGATAATATTTACTTCCGTCGAAAATTGTCATTTCCTTTCGATCACAAGACCTATGCACTTCCGTTTCGATAACAAAAGCCTATCGATTGTCGTCAAAACCAGTATCCACTAGGTATCTACCTGATATTATTGACCGCTTATCTCGTTTGCATATCAAGCCCACATTAAAACCTACATTACCACTTTGTGTGCTGGCTGCAATATGTCGTTGGTGATTAATTCAATATTTTATCAACGCATGAAAGTCGCAACGCGAAGACTTTCCCATGGTTTAATTCCAGCACAGCGCAAGAAGTTGTGCGATGTGCTATGAACCCTAACGGATATTCCATATGTCGTCCGTTCGATTCTCCATTCTTTGTCTGCTTCTTACAGAATTTTAAGGTCAAACAGCACGAAGTTATAAACGCGAACAGGTGATGGGAGTATTTTCAAATTTAGGGCTATGCTACAGCTCAAGGGGTTTCTTGAGGGATAGAAGAAGCAAACGTCGAAAATGCGATAGCATGTTTCACATCCGCTCGAGAACCATATGTTACTACGATTATACTCACGTAGTACTGCTTTCAGTTTCAAGTTTTTGCATTTTTCTGCTTTTATTTTTATTGCTTCTTGTCAAGTGCGTAAAATAAGAGCACTTTACTAAATTAGGGTTTTTGCGAATATTCTTCAACATTTTCTTCACTTTTTTCTTTATTTTTCGTTGTCCAGTGCATGTTTCACGTCAAAACATCACCGAATTTCAAACGCGTGGCGTAGAGTTAATTACGCGTTGAATAAGTGCTCTTTAAAATGCACCCATTTAACTTTTTCGGCTGCGTTGGCTTTTATTCACGAGGGGAGCACGAGTTACCGCGTAACAAGTACACTCGTGTCAAGTGCGTGCAGGTGTCATTAAGGGCTTCATTTATTCCGACCCCTTCGTTAGCTTTTTGAACAACTCCAACTTTAAAAAAATATGCAAAACACGCACGTGTACCTACAATATAATACGAATTAATTAATATTTAATTTTAAATTTTCTATTTCTTTGTTACAGATATCCTTTTAATGATTCCGAGCATGCCTCACTCTTTGCGAAGATATCCCGCGGGCAATTCGTCATCCCCGAGTGTTTATCAACGCGTGCGCGCTGCCTGATCCGTGCCCTCCTGCGAAAGACGCCCTCGGAACGCATCACCTCCGAGGACATCTTCCACCATCCGTGGCTGGCGCGCGAGGACCGCGATCATCAGTCGCGCACCTATGATCAGCTTGTGCCCGAGTGCAGTCTCTACGATGACGAGTTGTAATTGAGAAAAACACTCTGCAACTGCAAGCAAAAATCAGAACAAATCTCAATGTTCATGTTCATGTGATTCCTAAAATTAAGCTAAGTACAACGCAAGTACATAATTCGTGGCACTCGGCGCAGTGCAACACACAAGCAAACACAAGTGCAAAGACGTTTTTATTATTATTATTATTATTATTATTTTCTAAGCGAAGATGCAAACCAAACGGAGCTGTGTTTTAATACTACTATTAACTAACTACGGATTAATAGTCAAACCTACTACAGAATGCAAGATGGATGCGAATATTTTTTACTCTTGAAGCTTAGAACAACCACACACAGGAATAACAAGAAATCATGCAATTTTGTTTTGCCACACACGCTGAAGACAGAAATAATCTTGTTTTCAATTGTTTTTACTTTATTTTTGCGGGCGTCGCGAGCTGCGTTTGTTGACCGAACGTAGTCCCTCGCGACATGAGAGAAAATTTTATTTCGTTTTATAAGTTAGTTGAATTCGGGAATCTTTCTCTTCTTATTTGTGTTCGGCGAAGATGTTCAAATCTCATTTGGATTTTTATTGTTGAAATCGAAGCGCAATTACGAAAACTAAAACAACTAAAAAATGCATCACTACCAACCTACCCAACTACGAAACACATGTGAACCTACTACTAGATTGTTGGAAGCTGTTTAAGAATATTGTTATTATGTATTTTTTCGTGTTAGGGAATTATTTATTTCTTTAATTTTAGCGCGCCGAAGGTTAGGCAAGTTAGGCAACCCAAGAAACTGAAGACTGATGCTAATTGTTTCTTTCCTCTTGATGTTTGCACTCATCTTTTCACACACACACAGTAACACAACACAAAGACATCAACTGTGGTTGATGTTTCGATTGAGTGAATTTTTGTTTCGATTCGTTCATATTCTCCCAATCTATTTAGCAGATTTGCCAAATTTTATATTAGATATATAATATTTTGTAAATGTACATTACATACGCGGGGTTAAATTTATAAATAATGGGCATTTCGATTAAATATCAATCATTCTCATGTTGAATCGATGCAATTTTAGCAATGAAGCAATTTTGATTTATTTGTTCTATAGTTTTAATATGTTTTAAACTCTTGAATGACCGAAAATTGGCGATTTGTTGGCGAAATGAGAGAAAATACGAAACTAATCTATGATCTCGATTTATTTGTACGCGTTTTATTCTTCTTTCTGATGATTGCGATATCGAAAACAACACACACACACACACGACGCACACAAACACTTTGTATATTTGTTGTAAATAGCTTCTCGCATTTGTGCATATATTATACATTTATAATTAAGCGTTATTCATGGTGAACGTGAGAGAAGAGGACGAGTTGGCGACAACTGTTGTTCATTACAAAAAACGTTACAAAGAAAAAGAAACAAATGAAGATTTAACTATTAAAACTGTGTTTTTGTATTATTTTGCATCCTTACCATCCTTTAAATTTGAATAAATCCTTGTTTTAAGGTTAAAAAGTTGGTAGTATTGGTTGCCAGGTTGGCAACACTGTTGACATTCCTTTGTTTTTGATTTTAATGACGGTGTTTAACGTTTTCCCGCGCTTGTTTGCCGCACAATTAACGAATAACATCAACATTTCTCAAGCATTTAATTAATCAAACACACTATTTCCCAATCAACGTTTAAAATTTTGCAAACACCGATCCAACGGCAAGTGTGATCTTTGACAGTTTCATTGATGTATAGGCAACCAATTATACGCGGAATGTATATACTCACTGCGCATGAGAGTTTTTTCTGACGATTTCAACGTAAAAAGGTCATTTCCGTGTGCCGGCGGCGCACAGCGTGGTTTACGAGTGTTTATTGTGTAATGTGGTAATATTCAAGAGTGCCAGAACGGGGAACAGTTACGCTGTTACGCAAACGGTAAGCAGAAAAGTGCATTCAAACGAGCGCGCGGCGACACGCTTGTAATCGATTAGATTTCATGAGAAGCATTCGTGTATATTAACGCTATTACTTGCCAGAATGTGTGAATGCATGGAAACTCTGGTCTCGTTGATTAGTTCATCATGTATTCCACGTTTCGCAACAACTCGTTATGAGAGGAGTCGGTTATCTGAATCTAGGGAATTTCCTCCGTGTCAACAACACTTGCTTTTTGAACTAACCTCTGACCTTGATAGTTTTCGTGCGAACTTTATTAAAATTTCATTGAATTCGATCGCGTAAAGTACAAAAACATTGGAAAACTAGTAAAAATGCATACATCAATATTTAATTTAAATAAAAACAATCGCTAAACATTTGAAAGTTTGAAATAAAAGTTTAATTTTTTTGAAAATTGTGCATGACGCATGCGCGACAAAAACCTAACTTGTTCAATGTCAATCTTTTATGATTTGACAGTCACTTGAAAAAGTGCTTACACATTTATAGTTTTTAAGCATTATAAACATAAACGGTGAGTGTTTTTCGTGGTCCCAGTGCAGAGTCCGAAGTAAGGTTCACGGTAATTATCACATTTAACTCATATTTCGTCAATTATTACCCGTTTATGAAGCAATCGCAGCGTTTAGATCCCAATTTCGGTGTTTTTCATGTATCGAACGGTTGTAACGCGCGGTGAGTGAGTAATTAATGCATTCTTCGCTGCTCGTTTGTTTCGCCACAAACGCTCACGACAACAAAACACCGCAATGCTCGCAATCACGCGCGGCGGCGTTGTTTTTACGAACATTTGTAACATTTCTGTCCATCAAGTAACAAGTTCTTTACTTCGGGTAGTAACACGCCATAGCTGTACATAAAAACGGAAATAATAGGTTATAGAATAATGATGGCGGGGCTTAAGTTATGAAATGAAAGTACGTGTTAATATTAGGGTAAAAGAGGGTAATGGGGGTCACTTAAGGGAGAACTCAAATATAATTTAAATTATAAACAAAATACTTATTGCAATCGCTTATAAGCATTGTTTACTTAAATACCTATTATTTGAAATAATTTTCAGTCACTTTGACAATCAATTTTTGAAATTATTAAAGTTTAAAAAAAAAACAGATTTGACTCCCACTACACCGACATGCGGGTAATGGTGGTCACCCTGGAGACAATCGGAATCAAACGAAATCTAGCAGATATCGCAAACATAATATTCCGCAAAGTCCCACCCAGTGCATTTCACATGAGCCCATAGCCCAAATGAAGTGCTATGAACCACAATTAATTGTTTTTTTTTTAAATCGTTGCACATTAGACATCAGTTTTCCAAATCTTCATCCATCGCCCTGGCATAAGTCATCAGTGCCAATATAGGAATCATAAGTTTTGTTACTTTCCTGCAGTATCGTTTCTGCATGAAGGCTATTGAAAAATAAGTCACATTGCTTTTTATAGGCCATTTAGAGGGGACTAAAGACAAAAACGTCCATTGGGAGTTGCATGACTCCCATTGCCCACAATTGCACTATTGTGAAAAAAAAAAACAAAAAAAATATTTCTTCAAAACATTAATGTAATCTGAACTGCACATCACGATTTTGAATGTTTAACTAAGACTATATAAAAGTTTCATTCGAATATTCCAAGATATTCGACACTTATCTTCTAATTTGCGTGGACGTAAAATTAGATCAGCGGAGCTCAAAAATAAAATATTGGCGTATCTCAATGATACACGCACCGATTTGCATGATTTTTTGGGGGTGGCACTGGGGGGCCAGAACGGAGGTAGGAACGCCGTTTACGCGGTACTCGTAACTATTGTTTCGTGGATATATGGGTGACTCCCATTACCCGCTGACTCCCATTACCCTACTCTCCCCTACATATTAATGTTCATCGTGTTTATCGGTAGAATTTATTGGTAAATTAATGGGAGTTTGGTTCTAATAGCGGGATTTACGTATCGGTTTCCGAAGTCAAGGTATCCAGCGAATAAAAGCAGTGCCCGAGACGGAAATGTTTGAAACCGAGTGTTCGTGTAATGGTTTTAATGCTTGTATTGGTCGTAATTCAGCAACTCGGGCGTCAGGAGCACGTCGCGCGTGTGCACCCGAGCGCGAAATTCATTCGCTCGGGAGTCATAGCGCTCCGTGGCATTCGAAAACGTGCAAGGTGTTTTTTTCGCGTTTTAATTCGTCCATTCTTCAATGACATTGCCATTGAACTATTGAATGCACGCATTGAAATGTCAAAAACAAAAAAATTAAATTAAATTATGGGGAATTCGAAGTATTAAACCGGGGAATTCTCATAGTTTGGAAATTTCTAACAAATTCCCTGTATTTAATAGTTTTTCGTGGAAATTTTAAAGTTTTTCACATGAATTTTTAGACGGTTTTATGTGTACTGTATTTCTGGAATGGAAAATATTAAAATTTTAATGTTTTTTACATATCAAAGCGAAATTATGCAATGGATAGCGGAAATAACGTGAACGACTAAAATTGGCAGTGTTAGTTTATTCAATAATGAAAAAATGCTAACGACCTATGACCCGACAGTTTCAAATTGTTTTGCAGGTCTTTTTGACACCAAAGTCAATTTTTCACTCGTAAAATATGCAGCAATTTTAAACCGTGAACTATGATTCATGTTTTTACAATATTTCATCATTTTACTGCATTTGAAACGCAAAAAATGTAAAATTCTTCAAATAATATTTAAAAACGACAAAAAATACTAAATATATTGATTGTCATCATAAATTTAACTTAAATTATGCTAGAATTAATGATTAAGTAAATTTTTAAACTCTTTTGAACTTTGTGAGGATTTACTTGTGTTATAAATTTATTGTGATACTTGGATACTTGCCGATAGTTCAATGTTCTGGTAAGTGGATCGAACATCCGTAAAACACTCACGATCGACTTTTATCCGCATTGTCAGAGGCTCTGTATTGAGTAATTATACAATAATTCATTGTTTCCAAGCGAAATGTGCGTAAAGATAACGCGCAATAGTTGAATCAAAGTTTATATCCTGGTACTTTACATTTAAATTACAACTAAACAATAAAAACTACGTTTTTATTCATAAAATTGAGTTTAAACCAAGAACAATTAAACTGATTAATGAAATCTTTGATTTTTGAGATTTTCTGGGTTTTCGTAGACCGATTGTAATGATTTTTTGCTTTTTCTGCGCATTTTAAGACATTTCTCATAGTTTTCTTGGATTTTGCATTATATTAACTAATAACAGAATTGAAATAACTTCCTCGTGGAAGCGAATATTTATGATTTATAAACAAATTAATGTTAAAAATAGTAAAAACCTTCCTGGCGTTAAATAATTAAGCTTTTTTTGCTTTGTGGATGTAAACAATTTATGCCACAATACATTATAATCCCCAGGTCTATTTTATTATTTGTTATAATTCCATTTCCGTTTTAATGTAATTTTTGGTCTATACGTTTACACTACGCTCCGATGCAGCTTTTATGATTTCATAATTAATATTAATAATATAAGCCACACGACCGCGCCATGCACACGTCACAACATGAAACACAAGAGCATAAAATCTCGCTTCCAATTAAATTATAATTAATTAATTTATTCCTCTACGATAGCCGTGGTTGTGCATGACGAGCGGAAAAATGTAAATGCGAATCCCAACAAAGTACGAAGTAATAATGGAAATAATGAATACTAATGAGTAATAATCACATCCTCATGAATTGTGGATGATTAACAGAAAGGAATAAAAATAAACTCTTTCATATTTTATTTTATTTTCCATTGTCTTAGCGTGAACTGCGCGCGCTCTTTTGTCTTTCACCAGACAAAAAAGTGATAGTTGTTTGTCTGGTCGCATATCTATGTAATTTTTAAGTTTTGAGTGAATTAATGCGTCGATTTGAATGAACGCCAAAAAATAATGCCGCGTGGCCCGCGGAACGTCCCTGAGGAGTGCGCAAGGTCTCAATGTTCAGTGTTAAAACGTGTGTTCATTCGACCGACAACACTTCGGACATTGAAACTATTGAAACTATGTAACAACACAAAGAATCAGAAAATGAAGAATTTTCGAGAGTAAATATTCCAGAACGTAAAGCGGTGCATCTCAAGTTCAAATTGCACTCATTTGCATTCATTCGCGTGGTTGCGCTAATTCCACTAATTATTTCGCGGTAGTCGAGTGTGTTCTTAATGTACGGTGCTAATTATATTAGGCTAATTCTCATGCAATTATTATTTTTCACTTAAAACGCTTTTTTCACATTTTTTGCTTTTTTTACTATATGCAACCCGTGATACACCTTTCGCATAACCTCCAATAATGATAATTTCTTCATTATTACGCGTAATTGCTTCTTTTTGGTTGTTGGAGCTTTGTTTTCAGCTGGCTGCAGTGTTGAAACACCGCTTGGCACCCGGTCGGGTGAGTGAGCAGTGACACAAGTGTACAAACGCATTGCCCAACATCGCGCTGCTTGCATCATGCGCGCGGCCGGATTGATATTACATTGAGTAACATTATACCTGTCAAGGTTAGCGCTATACGTTTACACGACGAATACACAGCGCGCCGGTGCGCGTACGTACGAGAGCAGCGAGTACTTAATAAGCAATATTATTTTATTTTATTATCACCGCACGATCTCGCTCGCGCCTGTCTCTGCCTCTCCACGTTTGGGTGTATATCGTGTGTATACCTTTACGGGCTAGTGGGATTTCATAATTGTTTCGTCATTTTTCAGCTCGATTAAAATTTTTGAGCGGTTCAACTGCGCATGCGCGAGTTTGAACTTGACGCAGGCGTATTAATCATGTAGGCGGAGCTAATTACTATTATTTCTTTATTAGAATCTCTAATTGTATTAATTATTTAGGTTTTATTGATTTTTGATTTAAATTTATACAAATCGTCATTTAAAATTGATTTTTATGTTTTGTGCTGCGCATGCGCCAGTTCGAATTTGAGGCATGCGTAATAATCCCGTAGGCGGAGCAATTTACTTTTATTTCTTAAAAATTACCTCCATTTCTATTGATTACGTAGATTTTATTGATTTTTTAATCTAAATCCATACAAATCCGAGCATAAAACAAATTTATTTGCTTAATATCGTAATTTTTATGCTTTTTACGCTGCGCATGCGCTAGTTTGAACTTGAAGCATGCGTATAAATCAAGTAGGCGGAGCAAATTACTCTCATTTCTCCAAAATAACTTCTAATTGTATCAATTATTTACGTTTGATTGATTTCTTAATCTAAATCCATCCAAATCCGAGCATAAAAATAATTTATTTAATTAATACGGTATTTTTTGTGATTAAAGGTACGTTTTAAGGATTGGTTTAATGTTACTCTCATAGCACCACGCCCGTTTGCTACATTTAGTCGATTCCATTTTATTCCACGACTTTCAAAATTGATTTGTCGGGCCGCGCCGGTATCGCACATGTACAATACGGTAATTGTCTTTAATTGCGATTGTGCACGCACAAAATCCGGCGAGCCGGCGCGCTCGCTCCCATTTATAGCCGGCCGATTTTCTTTCTCTTCGCGCTTGCCTTTTACAAACCTAGAGCACAACTCAATCGCAGCGACAATTATAGCACATTCGAATGATTGTGCAAGTGATTAGCGATCAAGATCGCGCCGACGCTCTTTATAAGTGAAAATTATAATTCCAGCGATTGTAGAATAATTTTCTGCACTGCAGATCGCGTTGCGTAAGCTGCTCTTTAGCGCACTGCTCTTGTTAAGTTAAGGGCACGTCGAAAGTCCCCGCGGGCGCCATTTTATTTCATAACACTTTACCGGCGCCATTTTAATCCGATGGAAAATGTTACACGCGTGCGATATTAAGTTATTACTTTATTGCGCTTGTATTAACATTACTAACAGTAAGGTTAGCTTTTCAACTGCTATTTGAAGTTCTTGCGCACCGAACTTGTTTGCGTTGCAAATGGCGCACAACGCGCACGCAATGTTTGCTCCTCTATCGTAAAATCCCTGACGCAACGGATGCTTTGTTACAAATCGTAATGCGTAAGTGCTTTCCTAACCTGTGATCAAACAAATTTTGCTTTAACAAACAATATGAACGTATTTATTCAATGTTAGACAACCAGATGTACGGTTTACGCAAAGCATAACATTTATTTATCCTTGTAGTCGATCTTTTTCACGCTGAATACTCCAGCCAACAATTTCCCACCCTGCGTATCCAGATAATTTGTATTTTCTGAATAATAAATGTAAGGTAGACGCAAAATCCAGTAGGCTGCTTGCGTCAGAGTTGTGGGTCCATCTAAAGTAGGTACGAAAATCGGTGCGCCAGGAGCAGGTTGAATCCTCGGATTTACTTTAACGTGCACGGCGGCTTTCGGTGTGACAACGTGCAGCCTCATCAACTGCGCCATCATATTCCCTCGTCCACATAGACATGGGAAATACAGTGGCATATCACTTTCAGCCACTTTTTGTCCTTTATCTTTAACTATACAGCCTGGAGCAGCTTTCAGGATCTTGTCAGGCGCTGCGAGCATAAATCTATGTCCTCTTGGACATTCATATTCGAAACCAATGAAAACTTTCACGGCAAATTGTGGAACCCATTTTTGTTTGTCTTTCTTTGACTTACAGCCTTCTGTTTGGTTTTCTTCAGGTGCAACAGTCGTAGGAGTGGCATTTGTTGCAGAATTGGAAGAGGAACTTGTAGAATTCGTGGATCCTGCTCCGTGTTGTATTTTAACATAAACTACAACATCCCATGGTAGGAGGTAGTTTGTATTGGGCCAGAAACCAGGTTGATGGCTTTCAGACAGTCCCATGTTGTGACTGTAGAGGGAACTGGTACCGTAATTAACCAGAGACCAACTTGGGTATTCAGGAAGAAGACCTGGAGGTGAGGTAAGTGTTAACATCCCCTGAAGATGATTACCAGTGTCTTTAATGTCGTCTTTATCAGACTTTTGTTTCTTTTTATCGTCAATGAGACTCAAACTTTTAGTTTTCTTGACATCATCAGATGGTAAAGACTTTAAAGAGGGGAATGTAATGTGTTCATTCTTAATACATCCACATTCTTTTGATAAAAGGTGGTAGAATGTATAATTTCCATCTTTGGTGTTATAGGGATCGTCTCGGGAGCCTTGTTTGTGACCACAATCACAAATAGCTTTAAAAAAGTAATAAATTTCAATTAATGTAATGATAAATTAACATTACTTGAAATTAATTAAACTTACCAATGTATTTGACACCACTTGAATGTTCCTGATCTTCTGAATGTAGAATCGCCATAGTGCAAGGGTTTCCCTTCAAAGATAAAAACTCACAGAGTTGTCTACCATTTTCCCAATAAGTAGTACAATCAGCTATTAATTGCTCATTGTATTTCTGAAACATTGGTCCCCTGGCTTGTGCACTAAACAATGTTAACGCGAATCCTAATCTTGTTTCATGCACTGCTGAAGTGTATCGTACTGGTAGTCCTTCCTGATAACGCGCGAGCGCTATGGGAAGTACTTTTAAACATCTCTGCTCCGAGAATTTCGTTTCCGTGCACAGTTCGTTAATAACAGGTTGTTTATTAACAATATCATAAATGATTTTGGATGCAGTTATCCACTGAGTCATTGTTGGTAATTCAAAATAACAACCGGAACGTTCATCGAAACCAGTACTTCTTGCTTGTTGGATGTGTCTCTTTAAGAAATTCTGGAAACTTCTTGGGTTTTCTGCCTCGTCACAAAATGGCGCTTGGATTTGAAGCACTCCGCCTGGTTGACAACCCAGAATTAATCCTTGCACTGCTTCACCCAGCATATCAACTGGTTTCTCATTGGAAACATAAACGAATTCTTCGTTTAACGGGATGACGAACAAAGAAATGCTTCTGTAAATATTTTAAACATTAATATTTATGATTATTTTAGTTAATATATTGTATTACTTGTTCATGGCAATTATTCTACTCTTTCTCAGAACTTGATAGATTCTATCTTCTAAGTTGTGCTCAAATTTTTTGATATTCTCAAGGTTTTTTGGACACTTGTCAAAATAGAAGATAATCCGAGGTGTGGTAAATCGCCCTGCAGTTACCCATTCTTCCCCAATGTTACCAACATCTTTTAATCCTGCAGATATTTCATCGATTAGATTTTGATCCATTGCTTCCATGGCTTTGAAATATTGGATGTAGTTTGTGTCAAAAGTCCAACCTGGATGGTAGACTATCACCAAATGGCTGATGTAGAACAATATAAAGAGTTGTTTAGCAATTTCACTCTTTATTTTGTCATAAATTGATAAAAAGTCCACATTTCCATCATCTTCTTTGCAATCAGCAGCAAATTTTTCATAGTTGTTGATGAAATTGTCTGAATCAAGGAAGGAGTGTACATGCAGATACACTACTTGATTGCTTACATCATGATAGCCTTCAATTGTACACTAAAAATAATATTATAAACTTATTCTTGTGAAGAAACAACACAATTGAGAAGATACATACATAATTTTGGCGATTTTTCGAATCGGTAAACATTCTGCCAAGACTTTTCAGTTTGAAACCGTTGGAATTGAGTTTAGACTTGCCAATTATTGAAACAATAACAATTCTTTCATCTTTGAATTGATCCTCACTAAAAAAGTAAAGGTTTTGATTAAAAATTCTGTTATTAAGCAATTACAAAGTACTTACAGTAGGAAATCCATGTCAGGAAATATAAATTTATTGTTTAAATTCATTTTGTTATATTATCTATAACAACTTCGATAGAATTTAAAGTTTCTTATTTAATTGTACCATTCCTTGCAGGTTACGTTTTATATTTGTGTACTTTTACAAACCCACAGCTGTAGGCAACTTTGCCTACTCTCTGCTCTCTGTCAATATTTTAAAATGTTTGCACCAGTAGGCGCTTATCAGTATTTCGTACTATGTAAACAACAGCTCACATGTTTGGAAACTAGTTTGGTTCTGGTAGCCGGGAAGTACGCATTACTCGTTATATATTTAGTTTTATACATTTCCTTTATTAGCTGATCTTTCGAGAATTGCAATTTAACTAAAATATTAAAATTAATAAATATTTCGAGCGACTGATTTTTGTTTGTTTTAGGGGTGTGGAAGCTGAATGGAACCTCACAGGAAAGTCATTCTTGCACCAAATTGTAAGTGTTGTAATTCTTTATTATATTCATGACTTAGTTTTATAATTTTCACACTGGAAAGCCATAAAAATGGCTAGTAATTGAGATCTGTATGTTTTAGGGCTCTAAAAATTGAACAGGACCTTGTAGGAGAGTCATTCTTTCAACAAATTGTAATTATTGTAATTCTTTTTTTTATTCTTGACTCCTTAGTTTTATGATTTTGCATAGGCGGAAGCCATAAAATTGGCACTTTTGTGTTTCGAGGCACTGATTTCTGTTGGTTTTAGAGATCTAGAAATTGAACGGAACTTTGTAGGAGAGTCATTCTTGCCACAAATTGTAAATATTGTAATTTCTTATTGTATTCATTACTTTGTTTTGTGATTTTTATACGCGAAAGCCACAATTGTGGTATTTTTGTGTTTCGAGGCACTGATTTCTGTTGGTTTTAGGGCTTTACAAATTGAACGCCAGCTTGTAGGAGACTCATTCTTTCATCAAATTGTAAGTATTATAATTCTTTATTAGATTCATGACTTTGTTTTGTGATTTTCATAGTTGGAAGCCATAAAAATTACATTTTTGTGTATTGAGGCACTGATTTTTGTATGTTTTAGGGCACTAGAAATTGAACGGGACCTCGCAGGAGAGACATTTTTACATAAAAGTATAAGCATTGTATTTCTTTATCATAATCATGACTTAGTTTTTGGATTTTTGCACTTTGAAACAGTAAAAATAGCATTTTGTGTATCGAGGTTCTGATTTTTGTTTGTTTTAGGGCTGTAGCAACTGAATGTGATCCCTAAGTGTGGCCGAACTCGCATTATGTTGTAAGTAAATGCATTATTATTTATATAACTAGTTTTGTAATTGTCCGAAGTCACTTTTTTTAGTCGTATTGTTAAAATTGATCCCCTTGATGTCACTACAATGGGGCAGTAATTTGTAGTTTTCCTTCTAGTAGTTGCATTTTCTTTTCGAACTATTTTTAAAAATTATTTTGTGTCGAACGACAGGGTCGAACTTTTTTAAAAAAAATATTTTCGGTCGAACAACAGGCTCGAACTTTTTTTACAAAATTATTTTGTGTTGAAAGACAGGGTCAAACTTTCTGGTCCAATTTTTTTTTATGTCAAAATACTGACGAAAAGTTTTCGTCATAAAAAAGGCAAATCTATTCTCTTTTTTATGTTGAAAATTAAAAGTTGGAATTTTTAAATTCTGTTTGCGGATTCTATTGGGATAGTTCATTCTTATCAATAAATCCTAGTGATATTTTTATCAGTCAGTCATAATTTAGGCCCTAATTGAATTTTAATGATTTAATTTAATCCAGATAAATTTAGCATTGGTATATCTTGTAAACTATTAGTGAAATTAAAAAAAATTATTAAAATAATTTATCAATAAAGCAATTTCCTATCATAATTAGCAATAAAATGTTTAAGATTTTTATTTTTTTTGGTTTGAGAACATAATTAATAAAAATTTGACGGAGGCGCCTGGCATTTTAATTAGTGCTTGCAACAATGATTAAAAAGCAAAAAGAGATTTCTAATTAGCCAATTAAGATAATCTTTCACTATATATTACTTCCGGTTTACTCTATGGGTGCATTTAACTGCAACTTGTACTTCCTGAGACACTTTAATCTCAATTATCTCGGAAACAAATAGAGATAATCGAAAACCGAAAACAGTATTGGGTACAGCGTAAAATCCTGCATAAGATAAGATTTTAAAATTTGAAAATTTAAGAGAGTGAAAAACAATTTTCCAATGCGATTTTCTCGGAAACTATAAAACTTGCAGGAAAATGGGTTGCACTTTTTTCATGTCATAATTATTGTCTGCAAAATAGCAGATTTAGTTTTTCGATTCTATGAAGTTTACAAAAACCTCCTAAAAGTAGTCAAGTGGTTACACTTGATGATTTTTTGGTCCAAAAAAATTTATTTTACGCTAGAACAAAACCAAAAACGCTAATCGATTGAGTTTTTCAACGTGATGAAAGATATCTAATCTGTTTTTTGATAACACAAATATTTCGGAAAATCTGTGTGAAAATTGAAACAGTCCAAATAAAACCACAACGCAGATTTTCCTCAAATTTTTCAATCTAGTGCAGAATTATGCAAGGAATCCATTAATCCGATAGCTTAATTAGTTTTTGAGTTATTGACTATTTTTGGTAATTACATAATTGATAAAAACTTAAAATTTTAAAGTGTTATATAATGTAGAATTTTATCCTGCTTACGAATCTGAAAACTATTTTGCTTTAATGTTAATTGTTTGCAAGATAATTGCGATAAACTGGTTTTCTCATTTTGTCCATCAATTCTTATGCAAAAAATAAATTATGAAATTTGGCGCTCTTTATTGCAGATAACGAAAGAGAACGTGATTTTAAACACTTTATCTAAGTGAAATATTGTTATCAGAGTAATTCTTTAGATGAAAACATACATTGAAATTAATTAAACTGTATCCTTTTTAGAGTTTGTGGAAACGCGTGTGCGCTCAATAATACGAGTTTCATTGACGACAGAACAAGCGAATAAATAGAATGTGATGTTTCATTTTATTTGTTGAATTAATACACAATTTAAGCACAATGGTTTTGTTTTTCTAATAAACGATTTGCATCTTAATATGAGTTTATATTTTATTTGTATTATCCCTCGTGTTCATTTTGCCGTTTTCAGATTTATAATTTTAATGCCAGGTGTGCGATATGATTCTAAAGGTAAGTGTTTTTTAATAACATAATATATACCTACGAGAAACGATTAGGCATAGTAGATGCATAATGCATTTTTGTCTTAACAATTACAAGCATAGATTCAGAATTTTGAAATATTTATTTTAATCCTTCCCAAATCACTCAAATCCCATTTTTGAACGCTAAGAATACCATAGACTTTGAACTGAAATATGCTTGATTTTTAATGTAAAAAAATATCATTTACTAATTAATTTTTATTGCAGAAGATTGGACAAAATATTATTTGGAATACTTTATCTTAGTATTTTTTTGTTCTAGCATCAACCGTATAAGCCCTATTGAACATTGTATTTCAGATTTTTAATAAAACTAAATTGAATAGAACTAACTGAATTTTGTGATTACCATGTAAACAATTACTCTGATAACAAAATTTCACTTAGATAAAGTGTTTAAAATCACGTTCTCTTTCGGTATCTGCAATAAAAAGTTCCAAATTTCATAATTTATTTTTTGCATAAGAATTGATGGACAAAATGAGAACACCAGTTTATTGCAATTATCTTGCAAACAATTAATATTAAAGCAAAATGGTTTTCAGATTCGTGTGCAGGGTAAAATTCTACATTATATAACACTTTAAAATTCTAAGTTTTCTGCAATTATGTAATTATCAAAAATAACCAATAACTCAAAAACTAATTAAGCTATCGAAACAAAAATTGGATTAATGGATTCTTTGCATAATTCTGCACTAGATTGGAAAATTTGAGGAAAATCTGCATTGTGGTTTTATTTGGACTGTTTCGATTTCCACACGGTTTTTCCGAAATATTGGTGTTATCAAAAAACTGATTGGATATCTTTCATCGCAGTGGAAAACTCAATCGATTAGCGTTTTTCGTTTTGTTCTAGCGTAAATTAAATTTTTTGGGCCAAAAAATCAACTAACCACTTGACTACTTTTAGGAGGTTTATGTAAACTTCTTAGAATCGAAAAACTAAATCTGCTATTTCGCAGACTATTATTATGACATGAAAAAAGTGCAACCCATTTTCTTGCAAGTTTTATAGTTTCCGAGAAAATCGCGATGGAAAATTGATTTTCACTCCCTTAAATTTACAAATTTTAAAATCTTATCTTATGTAGAATTTTACGCTGTATACAATACAGTTTTCGGTTTTTGATTATCTCTATTTGTTTCCGAGATAATTGAGATTGAAGTGTCGGAGGAATTACACGTTGCACATAATTGCACCCACACAGTAAACCGGAAGTAATATAAACTGAAAGACTATTTTAATTGGCTAATTAGAAATCTCTTTTTTGTTTTTAATCATTGTCGCAAGCACTAATTAAAATGCCAGGTGCCTCCGCCAAATTTTTATTAATTATGAACACAGATCAAAAATGGAAAAGTAAATTTTTTTTCATCAAATTATTTTAATACATATTTTTAATTTGACTGATAGCTTAAAAGATATACGTTAAATGTATTCGGAATAAATAAAATCATTAAAATTTAACAGAGGGCCTAAATTATGAATGGTGGATAAAAATATTACTAAGATTTATTGATAAGAATAAACTATTCTAATAGAATCCGGAAACAGCATTTAAAAATTGTAACTTTTAATTTTCAACATAAAAAAGAGAAAAGATTTGCCTTTTTTATTATGAAAACTTTTCGTCAGTATTTCGACACAAAAAAATGGACTAGAAAGTTTGACCCTTTTGTTCGACCAAAAATATTTTTTTAAAAAAAGTTCGATCCTGTCGTTCGACACAAAATAATTTTTTAAAAAAAAGTTCGACCCTGTTGTTCGATCGAAAATAATTTTCAATAGCAAATTGATGCTTCAATCCTTCAAAAACAGATGGCGCTGCATGTACTAAACCAAATTAAATTTATTCATTGTAATACAATGAAAACAAGTATGTATTATTTTTGTGTTATGAAGTGGCATGACATATAAGGAGAGGTACGCATCCAATCATAGAGTCAGCAATCGCCTTTAATATTTCTTTATTAAAACGCATTATACATTTACAAATCAGTTCAACAAAAATTTAATAGTTAAAAAGACACTTCAAAAAGTATGAACAAAGAAAATTAGAATATAGAATAGGGTGTTTCAAAATGAAAACAAATATAATATAAAAAATACAAACTTCTGTAAGGAAATCCGCGCAATAACTACAACTTTAGAATCACAAGGAGGAAAACTATAATACAGGGTGTTACATATATGAAACAAATATATATAATAAAAAAGAAAATGCAAAGTATTAAACAGAAAACTACATATTACTACCCCATCAGTGCCGGTTTTAGCACTACCAGCGCCCTGGGCGAGATTTCTACGGCGCCCCCTAACTGCAATTCTCCAATTCTAACCCATACGAAAAAACCGGCCAGGTGCGAGTCGGCGCCCCTTAAAGTCCGGCGCCCTAGGGTGGGCGCTCAACTTCGCCATGCCCTAACGCCGGTACTGCGCAACGAGTACAAGTGCGTATACACACAACTATCAATATAACTCGCGTTACGGAATTTTCTCGCAATAAATTTCGATACAGGGAAATAAAGAATTAAATTCCGCATCTGGGAATATTAATCCGAACTTAGTTTAAGACCGCGTTCGCGTATTATAATAAAAACACTACAATACCGAGCGCAACGAGTACAAGTGCGTATACACCAGGGCTGGCCAATCCCAAGCCCGCGGGCCACGAGGTGGCCCGCCAGGACATTTGAATTTGCCCGCCGCACAAACCAAAGTTGGAACTTTTGTATATGTATAATATTTTATGTATGAATGGCCATAGTCTGTGGCCCGGTGCTGCCGCATTCTAAAAAAAATGGCCCTCCAGGAAAATCTATTGGCCAGCCTTGGTATACACACAACTATCAATATAACTCGCGTTACCGAATTTTCTTGCAATAAATTTGGATACAGGAAGATACAGAATGAAATTCCGCATCTATGAAAATTATTGCGAAGTTACAGTAAGACCGCGTTCGCGTGTTATAATAAAAAAACTACAATGCCTACACAACTACACATCAAATACTGTGAGATAGAAACTTATATACAAACATTGATTTATATAATTTACAAGTTAACCCGACATAGTTTTTGTAATCCATGATATCCAACAATCGATCGAGCTGATTTCACGTGTTCTACCATCGCACACACTATAAATCCACAATAACCCCGCACATTTGTTATTATTACATGGCGTTGATTCGTGATTGGAAATAAATCGATTTACCGAATTAATCGCGAAAGTAGCGACGTCAACTGCGACAATGCAAGACACTTATATTTCATGCAGTGTGTGAGATTCGACTGCACATCGCCTCACGAACGTAAACAAATAAATAAAACAGATAAAACAAAACCTGCTCCACCAATTCGCACGGTCTCACATGCGATACAATGTATCAGCAACGGACAGAGATAAATGTGCATGGAATTTATTTTCAAAGATCAGCATTCTAGCGCCATCTAGGCCAGATTTATAGAATTATTCATTCTCCCACCTGTTCGGCGTCAGTTGCGTTATGCGTTGCGCAAAATTTCAAAACGAATTCACGGTGAGCGCGTGCTACACATTCTCCCATGCGCTCAACGGTTTTATTTATATAATAATCGTGTTTTCGTAAGGTCGACAGTAGCCACGCCATATTAAACGTATCAACGATTAAACATTTCGACCCAACGCAACAACAACTTATAAAATAACTTACGCTTACAAAGCGATGATTTTTATTCTAACGCTCGTGCTGGCTGCGGGAAGTGCGCACGGCGGTTTAACGGATTATTTGAATGGAGTGAAAACATATTTTGGTTATGATTCTACCGAGAACCAAGTGGAAGGTTTCGAAGGTTTCGAAACGAAAATCCCATATGAGGTCGCTCCGGCCGATGAGAAATTTATATCGCAAGCTATTGAGTTGACTGGTGTGGCGGTTTCGGAGTTAGATGCATGCCAACACAGGGTAAGTACAAACACTCAACCAATCAAAACTTGATTTTATATAAAGAATTTAATTGTTTTTAGTTGATATTAAAGCTGAAATCCGACTGCCACTTGCTGAATGACTTGCAAATCTCCAAACTGGCAGTTGCTTTGCTCAACTGCCAGTCATATATTGAGGGTAGAAAGGTTTACCCTTGTACAGAAGAGATGTCTTTAAAGGCATGCACATCTGAAATGGATGCTGATGTATGGAACAGTTATCATTTAATGACAAACCGCGCGCGTGCTGTGTGTTACTCTATAAGACAAGCGCAATTTCGTGGTCTTACAGAACACACAGTCAATAGGTTAATGGAAGCATCTCAAAAACAACTCAATACTTTAGGGAAAATCTCCAAGGAACAAGAAGATTTACAAAATATAGCTGAAGACACACTTGAATTCATAAACAAGGGCCATCAAGATTTGGCAGCACAACAAAAAGACCTTCAGAAAGCTCAGCTTTATGGCCAGCTGCAAATTGAAGACAATATAAATAAACTAGCAGATGAAAAACGACTCATTGTTGAATCCCAGATGCAGCTGGCTGCAATGACAAAAATGTTACAGGAAAAACTCACCATTGCAGCTAAACAGATTGAGATGCAATCTGCAGAGACCAGTAATAATCACAATGAAGTCCTCGATGACTTAATGGTGATACAGGAGAAGGCACAGATAATATTTAAAAAGATTGATGATTCTTCTAACATGCTGTTGAAGCACAGCGAACTTGCCACCAAACAATATCAAGCCACATTAGAACAACTCAAAGAAATGAATTCTACTGTAAGTAACCTGGCCATTCTAGTTGGTGGAACGAAAAAAGCTCTTGAAGACCGTCTTCAGTGGATTACACAGCTTCTTGGTGGGACTGATAACGCCCTTGAGCGAATTTACATATTTTTATGGCATATTTTGTTCTTAATCATTAGTATGATAGCTTCTGCATTTATGAATGCAAGTTTTCCCACCAGACTCGCTGTTATCAGCACAATTCCCGGTAATTTAGCTCTTAATATTTTAAAATCCGAACATGCTGCCGATCCACTTGAATTAGCGGCTTTCCTCGTAATTTTTATCACTGTTCAAACAATTCTCTTCAAAGTATGGGCATACGTTCAAAACAGAAAACCGTTAGCGATTAGTTATAACAACACTGATAGGTATAAGAATCCAGATACAACTAATAATTTAAGGGCTGAGACACCATTACGTTCAGTTAGCAGAGCTAGTTCTTTTAATATCACCCCGGAGAATTCTGAAGTAAACGCGGAAGTTTCCAGAGTGACTGATTACACTGAACATGCTGAACATTCAACGCCTTATTCTAGTCGGTCGTATAGACAACGAAATTTAGTTAGCTACAGACGCGATAGTCATGATAATCGTGAAGAAACTGATCATTTTGCTGAATTTTTATCTCCTACACCTCCGTTATCGAGGACTAACTTCCGTGCGAGTAGTAGAACGCCTAGTTCTGTAGGAGTGAAAGGAACTTGCACTGCCATGACAAGATTAGGTACACCATGCAAAAATTCTGCTACGGCTGGTAGAGATGTGTGTTACAGGCATTTGAAAGGTGATTCTGTTGCACGTTAATTAAACTGGTGCTTTATTTAAGTGGGTTTAGTTTTAGGGGTAGTCAAATGTAGACAATTTTATTTTTACACTAGAATTATCAAGGTTAATTAAGTAATTTTCAAATCATTTTACTTTATAAGTTGATCTCTTGATATTTGCCATGTTTAATTCAATTATTTTGATGGAACAATTATTTATTTAGTTTAATTTATTTAATGGACTCAATTTGTAAAATAATTTCTGAATTATGTCGAATATTACAATCAAGTTTAGATTATAATTCAAAGAAACGTGGTTTCGGTACTGTTGGTGACATAAAAATAATATAAATACATACACAATCAAATATTTGTGTTGAATTTTCTTTATTTCGTTTATTTATAATCGTTTCTAATGAAAAGCTGGTATAAAAATCGAAAATAGGCCTATTGCAGGATTGTCCGCTAAACGTTAATCGTTGGACTTGCACTTGTTTGGTTTAGGTATTAAATAAAATCAGTCCTCGACCTTTATAAATATTCAATGTGAAGTTAAAAATTTCTAAGTAAGAATATCTGAAGAAGAGATTTTTTCAAAGGACGTGATTACGCTCGATCTCATTATCAATCATTGGTAGGAAGTTTGCAATGTTTTCAACATCTCTATCTACGCCTATATCGTTTGAATTAAAGTTAAATTCAATATGCTTTCGTTATAAAAATATAAATACACATCGCGACGTTTCAAAATGCATCCACAGATCTTACAACTTGTCGTCATCTCTTGAAACGTTTTACATCTACAAAAGTGAAAAACATGACTAAGTATAAATTATATAGGCGTTAAAAATTAATACATGTTGTGAATAATACGGTGATGGAAGACGAAATTATACTTTTTGTATTTAATATTTTTGTTGGCAAAATATTTTCGCTTTCAACGTCTCCGACAAAACATAAACATTGTGACACCAAATAATGTTATAATTTCTACGTGAATTTGTTTAATTTATATTTTGGCCATATCTGTTTTCTCTATCACCATTGTCCGCCCAACCATCTTCGTCGCCGCCGCTTCATAAATATAAATCTAAAGTGCACAAATGCGTTATTGTGTTATATCCTCATAGCAGGATAATAAAATGACATAGTAATATAAAAATCGACCGCTGTCGACACCTCATGTTCGTTTGCGCGAAACGTTCACTAGACACACTTTGGTTTTCATTCTTCATCAAGATCATTCTCACATCCCTTAGAGTTACAATTAATTGATAGTTCTTTAGTGTTTAATATAAACTTCCCTTATGACATAAATCACGAGAGAATGGCGACACTCCGCCGGACACCGTTGCCGTTCATATTGATGTTGTCCAGGCTGGACCACTTCTTGAAGCCGTTCTTGAGTGCCTCGGCCGTGTACTTATCCTCCATGACGCGCGACATTGCCTCCAGCTTCTGCGCACGGTCGTTGCTGAGAGGTTCGCTCGGGAAGGACAAATCGTTGGCCTTCGCCAGCGTTCGCAGATCAAAGTAGTACTTGGCATACACGCTGGACGGCACATTGATGTTGAACTGCAGCAATTCCAAAACTGCCGCTCGAGTTCATTCATATCCTCCACGGTGATGTCCTTGAGAATCTGGCAATAGTCCACGTTCCACACCGCCTGGTCGTCCCATACCTTGGAGGCTAACAATATGGCAGCTGGAAATTGCCAAGCAAACGTTTTAATTAAACAAGTAGACTAGAACAGTTAATATTGATTCAGATACTTAACAATTACTGTTTGAACTGTGTGGGGCAAACAGATGAATTGACGTAAAAAATTACGCAAATAGAACATACCTAATACGATTCTTTTCCAATTTGATGGAGCTATATCAAGTTCAGCGTAAGTTAAAAGTCTCTCTAGATACACTAAAGTGATGATAGCACATTCTGCAGTCAACTGGGCTGCATTAAACAGTGTCCTCACGAATTTATAAATGTGTCTATGCTCTGGATTATGCTTGTCATAGTCTTCACTCACAACTTCTCTTGTCAATGGGTGCAGTCTCTCATCAAAGATATCAATTTGTCTCTCTGAAACTCTGTTCTTTATGTGGAAATAAATAGCTAATGCAACACACTTCACCGTGTTTTTTAGATTCGGCTGGGACACAGTGCTATCATCAAGATAGATAGTTGAGCATGAGCTGCTCTTCTTCAAAGGTCTGTCAATGGTGCCATGATCACCAGGTCCACCCTTACGTCTGATGATTCCATTCTCCAGCTCAACTTTAGACCTCTCCAAAAACAGAGTCTTTACCATTGGATCCTGCGATGGGTCGGACTCACCATCGTCTCCTTCACGTTCACTGATGTGCTGCAGATTGTTGGTGGAGACATCCTCAGGGATCGACTCGTCCACTGGGTGTGGAACGCGATGCGTCGGCTGTGGACTGGAGTACGAACAGCAACTGGTTTCGTTACCCATGGTGGAGTTGTTCTTTGGATAGATGTTAAACTGTTAGCCTTGTTGAGGTTTTCATCTTGCGGGCATCACTGGCGGCATTTGAGCGCTGAGTGCGCTCGCTGCTCGAACGCCGAGGAGATAGCGTTGTGCGCGCTGTAATCTCGGCGCGCGGTATGAGATAAGATTGCGCGGCGGGTAGTTCCGCACTCGTGACGCTATTCTGGTAGCACTCAATTGATTACTCAGGTTTTATTTGGGTTTACTCATTGCCGACCGCCAGCCGTAGTGCTTTTACAGTGCATCGCACTAGAATTTTGACAAATGTTGCGGACTGTCATGGCCGCGGTGTAAAGGTAGCAAGAATATTTTTAATTATTTCAAAATTTAGGAATATATTAGTATTTATTTGTGTATTCTAATATAATTATTTAATTTTATTTATTTTTGTTGTAACAATTGTATTAAAATTACAGATAATCTGCTTCGAATGTTTGAATGTAGAGATTGGCAAGTTTCAATATTAAACTGACGGCAGCGCCACCTACATTCGAGATGACGATTGATATACAGGTTGTACTGAAAACAAAATATATCATATGATGGTAAAATTCTTTAAATTATCTAATTGTTACAGGATATACTTGCTGTTTTGAGAGAAATAAAAGAAATTTAAAAAATTCTGCTCATAGACAGAAAAATATAAAACTTAGAATTAGTCGTGGTAAAGAAAAAAAAATTCCGATACCGGGAATCGAACCCGAGCCTGCTGGGTGAAAGCCAGCTATCCTAGCCACTAGACCAGTCTTTCCCAAAGTGGGCGATAACGCCCCCTTGTGGGCGCTGCAGGTCTCAAGGGGGGCATTCCTGTACATAATATACATATATAGGTCACAATATTTAATTAATTCAATTTGAAGTTAGAGTGGTTTTTAAATAAGTGCAAAAATGGGGGCGCTAAAAAAATAATTATTCTCAAAGTGGGCAGTAGACAAAATAAGTTTGGGAACCACTGCACTAGACCATATCGGACGATAGGGAATTGTTGACCACTTTAAACCATTCCCCATATTCTCGACATTTTTGGGAAACATTGCAGTTTACTATAACAATTTTTCAAAAAGTAAAGATCATAAGGGTGAAATGCGGTTTTAATTTAATTAGGTATTAGAGGATAATCCCGAAAGAAGTAAAATAAGCTGATTCTTAAGAATAATGTGATATATTTATTATAAAAATCTGTTCATGGCTATTTCCTAAACATACATGATATAAGTTTGTTGCGAGAAGCAAAAAATGCAACAGTTCAAATTGTAAAAATCCCTGAGTTGCTGAGATGTTGCAATTCGTCACACCAACGCTTGGTAATATGTCAGATTCGAAGAAATTAAACGTAAATATTATAAATAATGCCCTTAAAATATAAATTCGTCAAAATGGTTAAGTAAATCCAAATACAGATGAGGTAGGTAATGTTGTAAAGTCTTAATCACTAGAAGAAATCAAATCAAACCCATAACAAAAAATCCAAATCCTATCATCTATCATTTGTCATATTTTACGTAAACTCAAAGCCGTGTCACACTCTCCCAATGTTTTGCAAAAGTAAAAGTTTCGTTGTAGTTCGACGCCATTTTGTGAAAATTTCCTCATTTTGTAATGCGGTTACAACAACTGACTCCTCATACGAAAAATAATACGTGAACACATCGCAGTGCGGTGCTAAATAAATTAAATTTGCTCGCTAGACGCTTCTAAAAATAATCAATAAACAAATTAAATTTGTAAACGTAAATTTGGCTTGGTATTAAACTTTTGAATCTTCAAACACGAACGAACATAAAGAAAAAACATAAATAAACATGGTGTCGTACTACATCTCCGGCAATGTTATATTAATTCTAAAATTTCTCAAAAACTCGGTAAAATATTCGAAACCAGAATTCTTGCAAATATTCCCGCTGAAATATTTGAATGAATTTTGCGTTTCTTTTCTGTTTTGTTTAATTTTTGTTTGTGTTTTGCTTTTAGTCACAGCACGATATTTAAATTCGATATAGAGTATTGGCAATTGCACAGAATTCAACGCCGCAAATATCGTTAGATCGTGACTTTTCTTTATTATATATTAATAAATTTGTTGCTACCAATTAATCAGAAGTATGAATGAAAGTGAAACGCATTGAATGAAATGTTGCGTATCTTATTGGTCGTTCTGTTTCATTCGCTGATGTGTAATTGCGCCATGCCTTCGACATTCGTGCTTCCGTTGCCGTTGTGCGACGTAGGCAGTGGTGGCATCATGGCGGCATCGCCGGAGCTGCTTGTTTCCGGTCTCTGCGGGCAATCAGCGATCAGGTGGTCTTCGCTTTTGCAATTATGACAGCGTTTCGGTTGTGGTCCCAATGCGCATTTTGCTGCGATGTGATTTGCGAATTCCCCACAATTATAACACCTAAACAATACATTCATGTATATTTGGTTGCCTATATTAAATCTCATTATGAAGTAATATTTTATTTTTACCTTATTTTTCGAAAACGTTTCTTTGACGTGGGTCGTCGATGTGATCCGCGACATTCCACGCTCTGTGGTCCCGACACCCTGGTGGCTTCCAACCCCTTATCAGACACTTGACACTCGAACTCCACCTCTTCCTCATCGCCTAACGAACGAAATCCTGTCATTTTTATAACACTCTGAAAAAAATGTGCGAAATTTTTAAAAATCAACAAGTTTTCTACCTGTTGCAACACATTTACGGGAATAAAAAAAACTTGAAGAGGGGTGAGAGTAAACTCGCTTTTTGGATTCGCCAGCTACCTGCAATGTCTGTTTTCCACCCCTCGGACATAATATTTAAGGGTGTTTACAATATTCTCGCGTTGCACATAAAAAAATATGATAAATATTGTGTTGGGGTTTTCGGAAATGAGGGGTGAAGTTAAAAAGTTAAAAAGATGGACATGTGGTAAGTGGCATCATTAATAACACAGTTAAATGATGATTGAATGATTTTTAAACATTTTTTTGTAAATTTTACCTGGTGGACGAATACATCATGGCCACCATCGTCCGGTGTGATGAAACCCCATCCTTTTGCGACGTTGAACCACTTGCATTTTCCTCGTCTGATTCCGAAGGATGCCTCGGAGCCAACTTGGCTGGCGCTGCCTCCTTCAGAACCTTCAAATAAACAAAAAAAACAAAAAAATCAAAATTTTTATTTTTGACGGTTAAAATTTTATTTAAAGTACTAGTAGTAAACTAGAGAAGCGACGGTAAGTTCCAGGGCAGGTACTCGGTATTGCACCCCTAATTGAATGCATTTTCTAACGTCTCCAACGTCCCAACATTCCGCAACGGGCCAAAACCGTTGAGGTTCTGGTTTTTCTATTTCTATTCATACCACTACATCCAACAACATTAGAATCTAGTCGAATGCAATTCGTATAAGGGTTGAAAATATTACCATTTTTAAAATCACTTGATTCCATATGAAAATCCAACAAATCACACTTTATTTTATTTCTATCAACAACAAATCACAAAACACTGTTTAGTCTGAAGATGACAAACGCTTGACGACAACGACAACTCTTGTTTGTCACAATGCAAATGTTTAATTTAAAATCATGCTTGGCGCCATCCAATTGAATTAGTTGTTTGTTTATTTACGTTTGGATTATTGCGTGATTTGTACTCGAATTACTCGCAATCACTTCACATACACTTAACTCGTGAGTATTGCGTTTGGTGTATGCATTATGATTTCGGCAAAGATTGATTTGGTGATGATTTCGCGTTAACTACCCCGGAGCACGACTTTCAACCGACTGAACGCACGAAAATGATTTCGGGCCGAGAGCGCACCCCGCAAGACGTTACGCACCCATCCGGTGTGAGAAGGTGCGCGAGTGCGCCTCGGCTAGAAATAGTCAACTGTACCATCAACTACCCGAGTTCTTCAACTTCTTCTTCTTCAACAGCTCGGTAGAACCATGTGCGAGAAGGAACGATGCGTGCGTATAGGCGATATAGGGGTGAGTATGACCTAGGTGAGCGCAAACAAACGTCGTGGTGGAAATAGAAATATAAGAAGACGAAATGATTGAATGGGCCTACTGCACGTGTGTGAAAGAAATTGTATGGTTAGGAATGAAAACTAGAGAGGGTTGTTTCCATGCATGAAAAAAGTTGTGATAAAGTGGAAATTTATGAAGTTCCGCGCGTTGTAATCATTAATAATATTTTTAAACATATTATATTTTTAGTTGGTTAATGCTTGGTTTAAAATATGAGTTAGGGTTGTGTTGATGTGAAGGGATAAAGAGAGAATTGATTTTATTTCAATTCGGGGTGTGTTCTTCGCCATTCATCAAACGGTTTGATCTTTGATGTTTGACGACAATCATTATGAATGAGTCAAGGTTAGTTTCAAACAACAATAAAATAATCTAAACAGTAGTATACAGAAGTTTATCTTATAGATGGCGTTAGTAATGTGTTGTTTTGTGGGTTGCCTAAAATAGAAAAAATCTAAATATTTGAGGTTAATTTTTGGTGGTAATTAACTATCAGGTTTCGTGCGTATAGAAAAAGCTAATAAAACACGCGCGGTGCTTTGTGTTAACGTCAAGGGAAGAAAGGCGAAAACCAAAAAGCGAAAAGACGAAAGTCGAAAACCTTGGACGTCTTTTATCTTGCGCGCCTGGCTTTTGATCCGCTTTCAAAGGTTAAGCGAAATCAAATCCACGCGGGTATTAATTTCGTTTTATTTTTTTAGATGCGCGCTTTGTAATGAATTTTATTTTATTATTAGCCTAATGCATTAAAACTTTTAAAATTAATAAAAAAAATTTTTTTTCTACAAAAAAAATGAATGACATTTATTACCAAATTCACGGCTTATTTATATATTTATATACAATAACTCATTTTAGGGTGCTTTTTATCCCTTGTTACTTTTTTTTCAATTTTGGTTTGTCCGATTCGCCACGCTCAGTTATTTATACCGCAGATATTTATACACACATTTACAGGGTTGCGCTTCTGGGGGAAAACATTTAGCGGCAGACAATGCGCCCCGAAACGCATAAAAAACGCAAATATGATCCGAACCCAGCCAGACGAGGAAATAAACAACAATGGAGGCGTGTTCGGCAAACGTTGCGCACAGAAACACATTCGCTAATTGGTTTTGTCAGGTGTGACAGGTGATTGGCTAATATTTTCTTTACTCCGCAAGCATAATAAATGAAGAATGATGTAAAATAATTAAAAACTAATTATTCTAAAAGCTTTCAGGTGTTTAATTACGAGTAATTTAGTTAATTATTAATCATTTTCATTTATGCTTTGCTGATTTTAGTGTTGTTTAGATACGCATTTTGGAAACGAATGTAAAATATATGAAAATGTGTAAAATTTACGCTGGATTTGCGCGCGCGCCATTTCAATGAAGGGCGCAAGGGCGCGAGGGTGTCTCTAGGCAACAACCAATCATTTTTCGGCGTCGCGATGCGTCGGCGGTGACGTCATCGTCGAAAATGCGCCCTCAAAACTCGGCCGGGGGTGTTTTGCCGCTGCCCCAAAACTTTAGGGGGTGTCATAATCAATACGCTATTGTATGTGAGATATTTTAGATTAATGCCTCCACGACTCGCACTCAAAATGGCTGAAAATTTCAGTTTTAAAATTTTTAATAAAATTTACCATTATCTGCATTATTATGGGGCATTTCCATGCCGTGATCATCAATGGTGACAACCGTCATTGAAAAATCTGCGAAAATAACAATATTTTGTAATGATTTTGATATATTGCAACGCCCACACTATAATAAATAACGAACCTTATTATACGTCTTCCGGTGTTGATGCATTAGCCACCCTCTCGCGTCGACACTCACTCACAGCTCACTATCGTTGTAATTAACAACGCGCTTCGGTGTGTATATTATTGTTGTTGCTTTTTTAATTGGACGAAAATTAGCACACAGCTCCCCGCGTCCGGCGTCCGGCGTCTAATATTAATATTGTCACGTTGGCTATTCAACATTCACGTTCACAAATTGAGTTAAGGGCCAATTAACACCGATCCGGCGTTTGGATTTTTCAGAAGAATCAGTCACGATGGGCGACTTCCACGTTAGCATCAGCGAGGTGCGAATGGTCCAGCGGGTCCAACGGAAACTGTGCGAGCCCCTCGGCCCCTGGCGACGACACACCACCGCCGCCGGGAGACACCCCCACTATGTGCGTGTGCATCCGTACGCACCCTCTTTCCAATCTTGCTGCACGCACTCATTCGCTCTGCTTTCAATTTTGGGTATAACGCCAACACATCATTCGCACATCGTTCACATAAATACTTTTCATGAATCTTTATTTTACTTTAGGTTTGAGAAGGAAAATTGATGTTTTAAGTCAAAATTTGTGATTTTGTGAGAGTTTTAATCTCTTTTGGAGTGTGGCAGAGTGGATGTTGGTGCGGTTGTTGCATTCACCTGGTCATTATGGCAAACAGTCCGGCGTGGACCATCTGCTGTCATTGTGATGGTGTTGAAATGACCCTCTTGTTGAGTTTTGGACGAAATGCGTAGTAAATAGCAGAATTATCGGGTGCGATCAGATTTCGAGCAAAAATTGAATTTTCAGGTAGTGGAGCAATAATAAAAGTAAAATAATAAATACCTAGGCATCCAAGTAGTAGGTAGGTATATTACTGCTATAGACATAATCAAAAATTAAATTTTTTGGACAAAAAGATGTTTTTTGCTTTCTTTGCTAAAAACTATAAAATTCAATTTACAAAAGTAATTTGCTCAATTTATGTTATAAAATTTATTCTGAAGTTTCTTAAGAGTACATTATTGTTATAAACATAATCAAAGATTCATTTTTTATTTAGTTTTTGAAAAGAAAAATCTTTGTTTTAATTTATTTTACAAGAGAAAAATGATTAATTCATTAAATTCTTTGCAGATAATGATAAAAAACTATGGTAAATATAACAAAATTAATGCTGGAATATCCCAGTAATATATTTCTTCTATAAACAATTCAAAAATTAAATTTTTCATAAAATTTAAAAAAAAAAAGTTTTTTTTTGCATTTAACTCATTTTACAAGAGCAATACGATATTAATCGTAATATTTATTTATTTTGACACAAAAATATCATTTTTTGCCTCATCATACCGTAACACGATAAAAATGTATAATATTAATGCAAAAACAGCATTTTTCGCTCGTAGATAGCAAAATTTGAGCGATAAACGCAAAGCAAACAAACAAACCCTACACGCATCACACCGCCACTCTCGAGGGCGTGCGTTTGTTCTCGATCATCGTGTGGGTTTTCGCTCGCTGGCGAAGGGATGAACGTGCAAATTTCCTTTCTTTTCTATTCTCTCGCCATTCGGCTTCCGCTGCCTGCCATTTGTAGGCTCCTCGTGCGCGCTATTAGATCCGACTGGACGGGCTGTCACGATTGTCATGCGTATGAGTGATGGCTTCTTTCCATTTTCCACAATTGCACTACACGTCCAACATCGAAATCATATCTGCAATATTCTATCGTGCTGCATAAAAACTTACTCAGCTATTCATCATACGACATGTTCAAGCCTCTCGTATTTGTCATGGTAAATAATCACATGGGGAATCAAATCGGAATAAAAATGTTACTTTTGACTAGGAATTTGTTATGCGGTGGTTAAGACACTTTTGTATTCTGTGTTTTTTTTAAACAATTTTGATTAACATATTGTTTCCTATCAATTTCCATATACTTTTATTTCTAGTTGTGTTCTTGTCACATGTCACGCATAAATAGAAACCACGTCCAGTATCAAATCTAGTTTGTGCCCTATTTTTCTAATTCCACATCTACATACAAATACACTCCGCTCTTTTGTCATTTCCTGGCGAAGTGGTGTAGCACGAGCTGGCAATAATTGGACGAATCAGCAAATCTGAATGAAACTAAGATTAGCATCGTTTCATGCTCAGTGTGTGCCAATCTACGCAAAATGATATAGTTATGCAAAAAAAAAAGTGGACCGACATGTGAAGGTTGTGACCCCTCTTCGGTCTTTGATTCTGACCGCTTTGTTGCGCGCAAAAAATATCGGCGCTTTGAAAATAGCGATAAAAACGTCGAAAATTGCCGCAAAAAACGAACTGCCCATCGGGTGGACTCTATTGTGCTACTGTTTGATATGGATTTGACCGTTGGCCCGTGCCCATTTGTTATACTTTGCTTTGATGTGACGTGTGTGTATAAAAAAAGGAATTGAGCGGCGATCGGGGAAAAAATTGTGTAAATCCGGTGAAAGCTTATTTGGAGTAAATCCGTGGTGGCGAGGGAGTTTGGACACGTGCTAAATGCATCCGGTAAATATTTGACAACAAATATTACAAAAATGGTGAAAATAAAGCAAAATTTTCAAAATAAAAATATTCACAGTTTAATTTTTCCATTTTTACTTTTAAATTTTCACTTTTTCATGGTTGTTGTTTTGAGATACAAAAAGTTGCACTTTAGTCACGGATAGGCCGTGATTAAAATACTTTAATCACTGACTTTAGTCACGGGGTAGAAAAAAAAAATACCGTAATCATAACGTAGCTAAACGTTTTTACACGTGGATAATGTTCCATTTAGCGCACTTGATATTTAATATTCCATTTTATCAAAACAAACAATAAAATTAATATAAATTAAATTTAAAAAATACTAGAAAATAATTTTATCCCAAATATTTTTTAATTTTATTTTTTGTAATTTTGAACAAATGTAACTTTTTAATTGCAAAACCGAAAGTTTTGATCAAACTTTAATATTTCTATACTTATACGTATTTCAAAACTTGTGCACTGCTGAACTCATCAACTTTCGCGCTGATTGTTTCGTTTTTCTTTCATATTTGTTTCGACGAGTTAAAATGGACGACGCCGTCAATCCCGCACGCGACTAAAAGTTTTCCCGCACTCATACTCACACACATACACCGGAGGGTGGCTTTTATCGTGCGCGCAAAAAACGAGTAAAAAACCAAGGGTGTTCTGGTGGTGCGTTTGGGGTCAGCGAGCCAATCGACGAATTTCAAACACTCGCAAGGGGTGCAAATCTCACCAATCCTCAAACGCTCTCAGATCTCCATCTAAACAAAACTTGAAAATGAGTCATATCAGACAAGGAATACGAGTATTAAGGGATATTGATTGATAGATTTTTATTTATTTTAATTTAACCACTTCAACGTTTTTCCAAAGCTTTAAAACCACTTGATTTAATATTGGGTAAATTTTGAAAGTCAGACAAAGTCAAAAATAATTTATAATTTAAATGTAAGTAGATTTCACTCGTGTATATCAAAACGCAAATAATGTTTAATGTAAGATTTACTAAAATTACATATGATTTTTTCGCAGCGCACATTCAAATTACAAAGTGTTCATGCATAAAACACGTGTGTTATACATTGTTTACATGTGGCGTCGCGCGCATTTGAACAACCAACAGACGAACAGTTGTTGATGATAATGTCGGATTAATTTGATGTATTACGTGCAGCATGTTACCGTCATTCAACACTAGGTAATAATTATATCTGTACTATTGTGCGCTGAGTATTAACAACAACATAAAACGATTTAGAGGTGGGAAATGACGAAAAAAATATCGCATTTATATTAACCACGTAGTGATAATCGGAAGTTGAAGGCATCAACACGGATGTTTAATATTTGTCAAAGTAAATTTGTGTGTTTAAGGTCAGGAGTAATTTGTGCAGTGAATATAAACAATTGGAGACATTTCTGATTCACTCTGATGAATAATTAATTAAATAAAAACAAAACGTTGAAGTTTGACTTTGGTAAGTTTAATAAAATGATTTTTTATTCAAGGTTTTTGGGTTTTGATACAAAAATTAACCATAAAAACGCAAAGTTCCACCCCGTGAATAAAACCCGTGTCTAAAGTCTGTGATTAAAGTACTTTAGTCACGGCTGTGAGCGTCTGAGCTTAAAAATTTAATTTTTTTTACAGTTTTTAAATTTTTAACACAGAAAATTAAAATTTAGCAAAAAATAAATAAAAAATCTGTTTAGGTATGTTCTGCACTTAATTTTAACCTCAAAATTGTTTTTCTAAGAATTTTTTTATTTATTATTACCTAGACATTGAAATTCCATTTTCTGCATAACAATGTTTATATCTCTCATTAAATTCAATCCACGCGCAATAAAATTTATTTAAACATTTAAAATCCAATCGTATTAGTATGCAAAGAATGAATGCATCGAAACAAAACAGAACACAGCTGGGGAATCATTAAAAACATATTCGTATACGTAAAGCAAACGCCAGAGTTCAGAAGGTTAATGATGTTCGAATATCTGATGTGTGATTTTGTACATTGCTTCGCCTTTTTTGGCATCAGATTTCGCACTCACTACTACTCCTACATTAAAATTTCAAATCACAGTTGGTTATTAATGAGGCTTTGAAAGCCGCGGATTGCAGTCCGTTGGCAAATGCCATCGCAAACATGCGCACAGTGTAAAGTTTAAAATCTGGATAAGAACGCAATACTTAACCGCAATCAATAATTCAGAATCAAAACTTCAACATTTTATTTTCTATCAACATTTTGGTCTAGTCAGTGTGATTTTATCGCCAGCGTGATTTGCACGCTTTGAAAAAGTTCCTACTTGAGATTCGGATGTATTAATAGCGGGTTATTGATTACTATCTGATTGGGTATTACAATATTGATAGAAAAGTGATTAGTTGTTAAACATTAAGTTATTGTGTATCGTGATTTGTTCGCGGTTGAAGTTCAATCCAGTGCGTTGATTTTACTTTTTCTATGTAAGTTTTTTATTGTAATGAGCATAAGTGTTTGAAATAGGAAAATATTATGATTCGTTTAACAATGCTTGTGTGTGCAATTATTTTGTTATTCTTGCTATGCGAAAATTTATTTCAAGTTCAAATCGTATTATTATTGTTAAATTTAATAACATCGTATATTTGAATTGCAGTCAACGGTTTGATTTATATTATGAGTATAGTTGCGGTGACATTACGTGGTAGTTGTGATTTTTATTTAATTATTCATAAATCAATCAATTTTTATCAATGTCTTTAGTAAATTTAATATTTTACTTGTTTATTTAATTATTTACTGATAATAAAGTGCTATAAATTTTGTTTTTATTGTCTTGGATTTATTGTGGATAGTTTAGGAATCTATATGAAGTATTGAATTGTCTTTAGTTTTGTAAATTTAGTCGTTTAAGGATAATATAGGTGAAAAATTTAAAAATTTAAATTTTTTGTTGAATAAAAACAGTTTTTCATTAAATTTTGTTGTTTATTGAGCAAAAGTATCTAAAAACTGCTCAAAATATTAAGTTACTTTAGAAAATAATGCTCTTATTAAAATTAATAACAATTTATGTTGTTTTTCATTGTTATTAAACAATTTTACATCAATAATTACACCACGTAAAGTCACCGTAACTATAGAATTACAGAAAACTGTAATCTTTATTTATACACGTGGAATTTAAGTTTTCCTACGCGGAAAGAAACTCTATAGAAATTGTATAACAATCATTTTTATTAATTTTGTATTGTTTTTAAATGTCCTTTTTAGTGTCCAGCTCGAAGCACGATGACGAAGACCGCCCATAATCAGTCGACAAGCGACGCAGCAAGCGAATGCACACGCATTCCAATCGATCCAACTTCTACTTCTACTGAAAGTACTAAAACTGAAGCAGTGGAAATGCAAGGTGAAATTTTGAGTCCCAAGGATATAAATACAAAACAAAATGGTTTGTCTGTCCAAAATGGAGAATTCAAAGCAATTTACAATGATTTACATCACGAAAAGAAAGATTATTCTGTTTACACTATAGATAATGGTGTAGGTAATGCAACGAATGCAACCAGGCACAGTGCAAAGTTCAACAAGTTGCCTAAGTCAAAGCGTCCAATTGTGGAACCAGTGAAGGAAGGATGGTTTAAAAGTTTATTTTGTAAGTAGATTTTTTATTATTTATTCATTTTAAGTATAAAATATCAGTTTTATATTAGTTAACTTTAAAATCTATGCTAATTATTATTGCAATGAGTTAACGTTTATGGCGCACGTGCGCATCGTAATGTATCAAACATTCCTAACCTATAAACCATTCACAAATCATTACAGCCAAGTGGTTCTTGAGATAAATATTATCTAATTTCAATGTAAACAAATCTTGAAATCGGACGATCATAAAAATCTCTATAAAAACACTTTAACCGGTAATTCACGATTGTTTTTTTCAAGTTGGAAAAACGTTTGAAACACGTTACATTGTGGAATTATTTGAAGTGATCTTCAATGAAGATCGTTATTCTGCGATATTTTTTTTAAGTTTCCAGATAAAACCATTATTAAAAACGATAAGCTATTTACGAAACTGATTAATAACTGGTATGCTAGGTTTAGAGTTGATAAGTATGTCATGTTTTCACTGATAACTGATAAAATTCAATCGCGTCGTACATTTTTCTTCCATTAAAACATTCTTGAAATTAATTTATAATCACGGCGCTTAAACGTGATATGTAAAAATTGTTATCTTTTAGTTTTTTGGTGATTACTCAAAAAGTATTTGATATAAGTTTATGATTTTTGTTATAGATAGATAAATAATTAAATTTTACATAAACGGTGTAAAAATTATTATAATATAATTGTTAGAAAAAAAGTTATAAACAATTAAAATTTGATTTTTGTGATTTTGAACTTTGATTTATTATAACTACATAAATCATAGATAAATCATAGATAAAAAATGTTATCAATATAATCTTGACCTAGTTTGATAAGGAATTTAACCCTAAACAAATTCCTGAAGAAATCAAACAAAAAACTTAATTAGTTTTTGAGTAATTAATAAAAAACCAAATCACTTCCTTACTACGTGATAATTCATACTCTATACAAATTATTCAAATAATTAGAGTGTTTTAAACTATGTAGGTATATCAAAACATTGTTTGAAACTTTTCCAAAACATTTCCATATTGATTTCTTGACTCAACCGTCAAACAACACCGAATGAATCTGTTTTATTTGTTCTGCGGTAGGTTGTGATGATTAACACTTGTATTAGTTTTATTAATCGATGTTAATTGTTGCATTGCAATTGTTTGTGAATCGTGCTTACACGATTACGCAATGGCCATTGCTCAATAATTCGATTATCTCGTACAAGTGCCGTATCTGTCGGCGTCTAAAACTTCGCAGCAGCGCACTTCGATTAGAGTGCGCACATTTTAATTTCGAATAATGGAGATAAAACGATACTGTAAAGTCTCCGGCACTATATTATCATTATCAGCGTCGCGGCCGCAGTTCACAGATCGCATTACGCCGCCACGCACTAACATGCTGTAATTACTGAACTTTTGCTTAATTATTAACTGAATTAACTTAAGTTTAAATTTCGTGACGCGTAGAAATATTTTAAATTTATTTGTGATAACTTAACATATTTTATTCGGCACTATGGCTAAAGGTAAGATTTTTATTTTAAATTTAAAGTTTTTATAGATTTAAAAATGTGGTTTTGTAGTTATTCTCACGGTTTAGTTTGGTGCACTAGTTTTAGTTATGTAGGTACTGATTTTTTTGTGAATACATAGCAAATATTAAAATAGGAATACTGATAAGAGAGTGAATAGTGACAATGAACGTCATAGCTGTGTTTTTTGCATTAGTCATGAGGTCATAAAATCTTGCCTAATATATTTTTATTTACATTGTTATCTCATTGATATTGATTCATATTCTATTACGAAATAATTTATTTCATAATAATATTTTAAAAAATTAATTTTTAGGCTTAAAAAACGTGCAGAAACATTTTTAAACGTTTTCAACTTTACTTTAGTTAAATTTCCAATTATAAAATCGATTTTTACCAAAGAAAAAACAAAAATTTTAAAATATTTAAGTGAACAAATATATTATCTGTAGTTGTTCATTGATTACGCAAATATTAATTAATTCATTTTGATAATTTCTTCACAAATTTATTAACAGTTAAATTCTGAATATTAAAGTTAAAACATTTTATTTATAACATTTTTTTATCAAAAGTTACAGACCTATTTATGTCACTTTTATGATTTTTTAATACAAAATACACTTTTAAATGTTCATAACTTTTTGCACAATAGTGCTATTCACAAGATTTTCACGTCATTATGTAAGAAATTTAATATAAATTTAATTTCTGTAATTTTATTTGCTTTAACTTATGAAATTACTGAGTAATCACTAAAAATGTCAACAATATCACAATACAAACAAGACAATTTTTAGGTTAGTGTAATAATTATTCAATGATTGCTACTAACTACACTAAAAAATCTTCCCATTCACACCACAATGTAAACATTTGCATATTTCGTTATCCACATACAATTAGCAAATTAGAGACAAATCTAGTAAATTTACACTTACATAATTCCAACTTTTCCACATTACTCTTCGAATTACTGCGATGATTTACTCAAACATCATAAATCATTCAGTCGCGCATCGCGTTTTTTATTGCACCCAACACTCTAAACCGCGTATCAAAGTTCCCAAATTAATACAATCATAAATATCAGCCATTATCTGAGACCTTTGCGAAATAAAAACGGTAGCAGGAGATTATTATCTCGGCCATAAACGAATAACGTTGAAATTAAATTTTAAGCTGAGCTGGCTCCCGGCTGCGTCATGGATTGTGTAACATATTAAGTACACAAAATCTAGCGAGTAATGTGCAATTTTTACACATTCGCGGTGTCGGTGTTTTTGATGATATTCGTACATATATCATACTGATACAGATCATAATTGAGTTTAAACGTTTGAATTGTCAAATGAACGTCTTTTAACTGCTCTACTTGCCAGAGTAAATAAACCGGAAGTCTTCATTACTTACTCATTCCAGTTGAGTTTTTATCAGCTGGTTAATGCCTTGACTTGAAATTGAATGTTTCATTACTTTGCTGCTGAATTTTGTGAAGGTGATACGTTGAGTGTGAAACACACTGTCAAAATGTCACGAAAAAGTAATTTAATTTGATTTTAAACTAAAAACAACAACAAAAGAATAAAAATAATAATTTTGTTTGTTTTTACTTTACAGATAGTCAAGTAGGACCCAACAACATAAAACTCTTAGTGGCAGAGTTTCTGGGCACAGGATTATTGTTATTCTTAGGATGTATGGGTTGTTTAGGAGCACACACCGATGTTCCTGGTTATATGAGTTCACTGAGTTTTGGTCTCACAGTCATGGTCATCATTCAGGTAATATAAAGCCTAAAAATAATAAATTTAATCAGTTTATGTTCAAAATATAATTATTTATTTTTTAGATGTTTGGTCACATTTCCGGCGCACATCTTAACCCTGCCGTGACGATGGTAACTGTACTCAGCGGTATTGTCGAGCTGAAATCCGCACCATTCTATTTACTTGGACAATTCGCTGGCGCCATCTGTGGATTGGGAGGTCTTAAACTCTTAATGCCTTCAGACTTCATCGCTCAGGATTTCATCGATGAAAACACAAACCAAACTATTCACAAGTTAGGATTGTGCACGACAAATTTAAACTCTAATCTTACTCCTGCTCAGGTAATAACATCTCTTTTATTATACCATAAACAAAGATTTAATTTTATTTATATTTAGGGCTTTGGTATTGAAGTTGTGATCACATTCATTCTGATCTTCGTGTGTTACGCCCTCTGGGATAAACGCAACTCAACAAAACAGGATTCTGTCCCCTGCGTTTCGGTTTCCTCATCGCTGCTATCGGTATTGCCGCAGGTCCCTTCACTGGTGGCAGTATGAACACAGCGAGGAGTTTCGCCCCTGCTCTGTTGAACAACGACTGGGAAAATCAATGGGTAGGCAACCCAAATAACACAATATATAAAACACAACATAAAATATTAATTTTTAACAGATTTATTGGATTGGTCCGACTTTAGGAGCTTTAATCGCGCATTATTTCTACAAATTAATTTTCTCACTGCCTGCGGAAGACTCCGAAGAAGACGAATACGATGAAGTATCCTTAAAAGTAATGAAGGACGATGCCAAAGCTTAATTATTATAAAATGTAAATAAATTAAAATTAATACTAAGCCTGATTTACTCCAAGATGAAATCAGCTTAAATGTAGTGACTTAATAAATTATTACATAAAATTAAATCAAAGACAAATTTAAAAGCAAATGATTTTAAAAATAGTAAATAGAGTAAGGTTGTATTACGATTATTATTGTTTTGGGAATCAACAACCTTCGATTGTACGAGTACTCCATTTCTTACAATCACCGAAGATAATTAGTTTTCGTGTCTACGCACCCACGAAATTCAATTACGTTTCCCATTTATCTATTTGCATCCCTTACCATAGACATTGATTATTCTGATGAAATTAACAATGACGCACTTGTAGTCAATTTAAATACGCCCACAGAAGTCTTACATGTTTAGTTTTTCTGCGTGAATCAAACTGTGAAGACGTCTTTCCAAAAAATGGTTCAATACTTGGAAGTATCAAAAAGTCCTCCACTTTTATTCACGTAAATAAAAATATATTTATTATTTTATAAAATTTATTATTTTTTAATAAGAATTTATGTGATTTTATGCAGCACTACGAATTACAATCCGCCATCTTACCGTTCATTGAATACTCGGTCGTTTATTAATGGTTTTTCAAGCAACAGCGCTCGTGATACGCGAGATTTTGCGAATTTATCGAGTTATACTCGAAGGAGTAATAGTGACTATGCCCTTCCGAGGATTTATCAACCTACACCACCAATGACAGTCACTCCGTCGGCGTCGATAGCGCAGAGGTCGCCATCTTTGACACGGCGATTTGCAAGACTTTCGACTCATATGAGGGATTTGCTGCCGCCAGATGAACATAAGCCTGATAACGTGTTGCATGCGCCTAATCAGGAGCGACAGACTTTTTACACTCGTAAGTTAGAAGCCGATAAATCATATTAAGCAGGCTTTTAGTAGGCTTAGTATTTGTTTGTGGTATTTGTGAATTAAGAGATTTGTGATATTCATTTGATAATATGGATCAATCTGATAATATTAGATAGCAGATACATAACTATTTGTTACTATTTATTATTAGCAATTTGGTGTTAGTTGCAGATGCTGTGTGGTATTGTTTATACGTGAATTTGTTATTATAATATAATATAATATAAAAATGACGGCTTCAAGTAATATTTCTAAATTTAAAAGAAGAAAAATGAGTTTTATGGGTTGGTTTTTGTTTTAGGTAATACTTCTAAGAAAAAGATGTCAATTCTTGAAATGGCGCATATTTTTGGTGCGGAATTAATGGGAACTGCCATTTTGATGTTTGCTGGGTGCTCAACTGCGCCGAATAGTATGATGTGGACGTTTGCCATTTCGGCAATGGTGGCAATTCATGTAAATATTACAAATTTTTAATTTTATTAAACGATTATATTTTATTTATTTATTTATTTTGTCTTTTAGACTGTTGGTCCTATTAGTGGTGCGCATTTAAATCCGGGTGCAACAATTGTTTCGTTGATAATGGGCAAACTATATTACAAATTTGCTCCTATTTATTGGGCTGCACAATTCATTGGAGCTTTCGTTGGCTACATATTGCACTATGTAAGTAATCATTGTTGGTTGCCTATAGTAAACTGTGATTTATGTTGAAAAATAAATATTTTTCAGGAAATAGTGTTAATTGGTGATAACAATTCAACGTGTATTACTAAACCACCGGCTATTGCAACCGAAATACGGGTAAGTTCTATGTTCGGCTGAAGGATATAGGTACATTTGGTTGCATACAGTACGCGTCTACTCTTTTGCTTGTAGATATAATTTACATGCGTATCATGAACTTATCTTGTTTGTTTTGTCTATTAAATTTCATTTTAATTAATTTTCATACTTTCAGGTTTTGGGCGTTGAAATTATTATGTCGTTTATTTTCTTCATTGCTCTTGCTGCTCTCTGGGATTCGAAAAACAAGCATTCCAGTGATACGGCGTCTCTAAAATTTGGTTTTATTTTGTACGGATTGATTCTTAGCGTTTCAAAAGATTACGCACTGAGTATGAACACTGCAAGATCACTTCCACCGGCAATCATCACGGCTGATTTCGAAGGACATTGGGTAAGTAAACATAAACAAATCATTATTTTATTTTCCTTCTTACTTCACATAAATGTTTGTAGATTTACTGGGTTGGACCTAACGTGGGTGCCATACTTGCAGGCGGTTTGTATCGTACATTTTACAGCAACCGGCCTTATCTTGACGGAGATGAAGACATTGAATAGTACCTAATAGATGCATTGAATTGTAATACTGTGCTTCTTATTAAATAATAGCTTTTACCCGCAATTTCAACGGCGTACTTTTTAGTAAAGATATGATTAATTTTTTGTTTTTTTTTGTTTTTTTTTTTCATCTAATGTTTCGATTTCTTCAAAAAGAATTGCAATTTAATTAAAAAAATGAATAATTAGTAATAATGCACTTTAGCGCCATCTCTGATTCACTTATTTATTTATAACTATGATTGAATGCATATACTAATTTTTATCCCATATTTAACTCTCTTTAAAACACTATTTCTGATATTTTAATAATTATTCTGTTATTGAGACAGAGACAAATCCAACTAACTATAGATCATTAAAATATGTCCAGCCGTTCTTGAGTTATAAATGCTATAACTAACACACTGTTTTTTATATATAGAGATAATGACTCTAACTAAAAATCACTTTTTAAAATTTGATTTAAAAATAATAATACAAAACAAATCTTTCAATCCTTAACAGCTTTCAAAACTCTAACAAAGCCAGTAGTAAAACTAGTGTATGCAAAATACAAAACACTCTAGTCACGCAACCCTTCGTGCGTTTATCTCTTCCGTTCTTCAAAGATCGAACTACTTTCCACTTCCCACCTACTTCCACTACTTTTTCCCATAGAATACACCACCCCAGGCAAACGAGTTAATGAATGATCATCAAAAACGCTAGAAAACAGGTAATTTATTCCAACAAAACTGTGCTATTCTGCTGAATAATATCAGGGCATAGTTCAGGGCCGTATCAAATTTATAAATTAACCAAACAACAAAAAGTAAAAAATCTTACAACGTGAAAAACACGACCTTGCTCAACAAGCATATAGCCCGCATGGTCCCTGTGGTCAGTTTGAGGGTTGAACTTGTAACAAAAGCAAATCTATTGCTTCCGACGCTAATAATAAACTTTTGTGCACCAGTAAAGCAAGGGCACGCCACAAGGAAGAGGAAAGAATGAATTATGCCGTTGTGCTGTTATTACAACGCGGTTCTCCTCGTACTTGAAGGGTTGACTCGTTAAGCGAGAAACCAATGCAAATTTGTTCAATACGCAAATATGCATACACCAGACAACATAACTGGAGTGTTTAGTTGAAGGCAGGAAAATACGGAACATGAACGTGATAATCGATAAATGCAAAACAAAAACCTGCTATAAATTACTACAAAAACAACTAATTCCTCTAGACAATCATCTTTTTATCACCCTAAAAAACTATTAATGCTTATAATAAGCAGAATAACGTCTGGTTTTATTACTTTAAAACAACACCAGTAAAATAAACGAGAATTACGCGCAATATAAAAATAGTTTTGATTTGACAGGAAATAAACACCTAACATGGATTTGTGTTTCAATTAGTGCCCGTCAATCGATAAGAATTTCATGTTTAAAAATCGTGCACTGTGTGATAAATACGTTAACGCGTGGAATAATATCTGTTTACAATTTATTTATTTACCCTATATGTTCACTTGTACACGTTCAACCCTTTGCAACCCGCTTGACGCTTGCGTTTCGTGCATAAAACCCGCCGCGGGTCAGTCCGTTACTGACTGACCTCGCACTCGCAGTACGAACTTTTTCGCCAACGATGCCACACGCTCGAAATTCGGCGATGTCGTAAATTATATAAACACACCGAAACACGTAAAACGATATGTTTAACACACATTAAATAAAACCAAACACGAGAGTGAGGTGCATGTTCAAATGTGATTTGTTCGACTTGACGCAAAGTAATGCAACCCAACACACACGCGGTTACTAGTAGAGTTATACCGGCTGTCGAATAAATGAAAAAATAATAGATGTAAATAAATGTTAAATTGAATAATTTGGCACATTTTGTGAAGGTTGGACAGTTGAACGTTTGTTTTGGTATAAACTAATCAACGTAATCGTTGAATCAACGAAAATTGCAGTGCACGTCGGTTTATGTTTCATGTGAGTATATATTTTGCGGACAATTTATGTAAATGAATGCTAGATATTTACTATTTGGAATATTATCAGAGGCATATTTTTCACGGTCAATTGTCGCTTAAATGATTGTTTTGATTATAGTGTGCTAAGTGGCAATAAAAAAATTATCACAAATCTAAAACATGCTTATAATGTATAATATTGATGAATTATTAATAAATTGCAGTGAATATTAATTTTTAGTTAGAAAAATAGGAATAAATGAAAAATATTTACTAAAGATGTGTATTTGGTTGCATACATTGCAAAATCTTGAGATACTAACATAATATTATGTTTTCTTTGTTTTTTTTTTACATTTTTAACCAAATTATTATCCAAACATTTCAATTCATAAACAAAACAAACGTATAATTTCCCAAAATGTGCATTTGGTTGCATACATTGCCAAAATCTGGCGACATTAATATAATATTTTGTTTTATTTTGTTTTTTAAATTTTTACTCAAATTATTATCCAAACATTTCAATACATAAGCAAAAATAGTAAGATTTTGCAAAATGTGTGCATTTGGTTGCATATCTTATAAAATCTGTTAATATTATTATAATTTTTTGTTTTCTTTGTTTCTTTTTACATGTTTGACAAGATGATTATCCATTTATTGCACATTTTATAGCCGTAATTGTAAGTCGTGTATAAATTACGATGGCAATTATGATTCGCAACCGCCAGTCGCACAGCGAAACAATTAAAGCAAAAAATATGAATAACAGGAAGAAGTATGGTGAATCTGGTACGTTTTTGCTCCATCAACTTGTTGTCTGATGGAGAGGCCAAACTCCCACAATTACGATAATAACAACTCAATTTCAGATATTCGGATAGGTGAGACGCATAGCAAAATAACAAAAACGTAAGGAACGACACGCAGGAATTATTCAACTTTGTGAATTCAATGTCATCCTAGTTACTAGTCTCCTTAGAGACCGTAATTGCACCTTGTTGACAAATCTTTAAATTGTTTTATTACTTTTAGCGATAATAAACTCAAATTTAGGCGAATTACATTAAAAATTATTTTAAAATTTTAATTTTAATAATAATTTAACAAATATATTAAAAAATATTCCAAAAAATGTTTTTTAAGAAGTAAAATATTGAAAAATATATTTTTAGGTTAAGATTAAATGGATTTGTGATTAATTTGATGATAATTAAGGTTAATTACATCTGGGCCGCACGCTCGTCACTTAAATCTTGTTTAAAATAATGAAATACCAGTGATACCAGCTCTAGTAATTGAAATGATTGTCACATTGAGTACCAGCATCGTTTTCACACATTTTCGTGATTAAAATCGTCAATTAGCCACTGAAATAATCAAAATTCAATTAAGTAATGTAATTGTTAAATATTTAACACAATATTTCATCAAAACAATCAAAATTATTCACAAATTTCTTGAAATTCTTTTGTTATTCACTAATATTTGATTGTTTATTATTGTTAGAGTATTTGGTTGCGTGCGCGTGGCGGAGTTGCCGCCCTCATCGCCGGCGTCGTAGCGGTGGTCGTGGTTTTGGCAAAAGATATAAAGCACGCCTCATCATTGCGACGACAAGCATTGTGTTCAACATGGAGCGGCAGCACGGCGGGCGCGTCTCCGTTTCGGTCTTCCCGACGTTTCAGAGCGATGTGGAGATCGCCAAGGTGGAGAACGGCATGGCGACACAGGCGGCGCCCGCCGGAGGCGCGAATGCTATTCCTGGTGCGGTTGCAGGGGATGGCGGCGGTATGGGACTCGGTGGTGGGCGACTCATGAGCAACTTATCTCCGGAGGCGGTTATTCCTGAAGTGCGGATGGTTATGAAGCAGCATAATGGGAATTATGAAGGTAAATTGTTTTATTTTATTTTATAAAAATGCGTAAATTGCAGTATTTTCGCAGTTATTTTGAGGTTTAAAGTATAAAAGTGCGTAAAATTTCATTTTTTATTTGTTATTTATTAATAGTCATTGTAGAGTTAATATTTATTGCGTTTTCTTCGTTTTTCTACGGTTTTTAACATTAAAATTAAATCAAAACATGATTTTTCAACTTTTTTAAAATTTTTATTACAAGTTAGGAAATATTCTTTTATTTGTTTATTGCTCTTGTACGTTGCGTATTAAAACCCCTTCTTTGTCGTATTTAATTATCAAAATCATGTTTTAATGTTTATACGGTTAGTAACAAAATATTTAGTAGATAAGTCATGGTGATATTAGCATTTTCTATATTTTACAATAGTACAAAAGCATTATTGTCATGATATTGTCAGGTGTTGATAAGAGGATTTACCTGTAATTGATCTAAGAATTTCTAAAATGTGATTTTGAAATATGATATTTACGTATTAACGCAGTTACAACTGTACGATCGTGATACTTTTAACACGATATTAATTATTATGTGTTTAATTACAAGATAATGCAATATTTAGTCTATGATACTCGTATTAAAGAGAATTGAAGGCAGTATGATACTTGTAATTAATTTGTTTTGGTTTGTTGATGATAGCCGATTGAATCATTCATTATCTTTCTGTGAAAAACTTAAAATATTTGTTTTGAAGTGATTACGTTTTGTCTACAATTTACGGTTCACGAACATCAATTGTTTCTCTCAATTCTGGTTTTGTAATGATGATGCGATTTTAGTTAGAGTAATCACGTTTGCCAATTTATTGCTATGGGATTAATGACGTGCGCAAAGTGATTTTATGATTTACATGTAGATTAAGTAAAGATATACTCGGAAAATCAAATATCTGCAGTAATGTTGCAACAATACCCATTTGTTCAAATTGTACAATTCATTCTTTTTGTAAACGGAACATCAAACATGTTTTGTTATGTTTTGTTTTTGTATCTGCAGAGATAACTTGTTTGTTAGTGTTAGTAAACGCTGACAAAAACTCATATCCGTGTGAGCTCTCGCGTTGCGTGTTTCATACAATAAATGTGTAGCAATGTGAAGTTCTATAATTCGCGTATAGATAGCGCTACGATGCACTTATTTATATTAAATTATTAAACTCAACCGACTCAAACGTTATCAAAAACTTTCAAAACGTAAACAAATCAAACAAAATACAAATCAGACAAAAACAAAATAGATTCTAAAAATAGATTTATTCTTTCACTAAAACATAATTATTTACCACTTTACTAGTAATTAACTACTTCTGTTCTTATATCCGCTGATTTATAACCATTTTCACACATATTTCACCCACTTAACAGCACTTACGACATAAAAATCAATTCTAGCATAATCCGACTGTTTCTGATTAAATTAACGAACATTTAATGATCGTATACTTGTTTACACCATTTGCAGACGTGCGAGACACAAATTGCGACATGTCGTGCACCAAAAATGGCAAACGTTTTTGACGGAATAGTTTCCGCCGAATTAATTCAACTCATTTAGCTTTTTATGCTGTTTTTGGAAGGAGTTTAAATGACTGTTTAGCGAAACGGGAACAGAATTGACCGATGATTCGGTTCATTTCTATGCAAATCAGATATATTGGAATATTTCCGAGCATCAGTCATGAGTGACGGAAAAATTCTGATGCGGAACGCATTAATTAAGCGAGACGCTTGGAATTTAATACTATTATTAGAGATTCATATCGGAAGAATGAATATAGTTTAGTAGTTAGTAACAGGTTACTATATGACATATTATGTAAGGTGTTCGGGCATAAATTAGTCGGAAATGTATCAATCATGATGACCAACTTAAAGAATTGGGTTGGTATAAGTTAGGTTATGTGAGGTTATGCTTGATGTGTCAAATGTGTCACTTAGATGACATTTATTTACAAGTTATTACGGCTTTTTTCATTGTTTTGATGTTTTTTTTTTTACTTTTTACGTTTTTACTTTGTTTACTTTTGTTAAAACCGCAATTTTTAACAATTTTAGTTAAAACTTGTTCTATTCAATTGGCTGTCGTCAAAAACAGGTTTTTATTTATTTGGATTGTTCTCAAATGTTAAACTAAAGCGTAAAAACCGAAAAAACGCAATATTTTTGACAATTTTCCTGGAATAGCGTATTAAGTATCAAGTGCGTTAAACGGCACTTTAACAACGTTTAGTAACGTGATGCTTATGATATTTTTCCTACATCTACTTTATTTTCAAATTAAGATTATTAGTACTACACTATATACAAATGCACAGGAGCAAGCTCCACCTCGTGACTAAAGCCCGTGACTAAAGTACTTTAATTACTGCCTAACTCTTCCGTGTTTGAAATTCAACTTTTTTTTTATCTCAAAACCGTGGAAAAAATGACGAAAATAGAAAAAAAAATTTATATGTTAAAATTACTATTTTAATGTTGCTAATGGCAACCACCTAATAACAATTATCTAGTTTTCTTTTAATTGTTTACATCATGTAAACAAAGGACACCCTGACATTGAACTAACCTCATAATTCACTTACGTCACTTATGCCAATAACAAAACAAAACAAAATGACTATTTTATGGTAATGCAACAAACGTAAAACAACAACTGCAAAATAAATGCAAAAAACGTGCAGAAAATACACACTTTCAACACTTATTCCAAAACTACCCAAATTACAAGTTATCACACAATTAAAAACAACATAAAACAAGAAAACAATCAAAAGCAGATTATTCCGCACCATATAAAAATAACACACATGTCCAATCCGTAAATAACATAAACAATTTCATAGGTAGGTAGCCAAATACACATTGTACGAGTATTACAATTGTCATCTGGAACTACGTGTACAAATGCAGTTGCAATTGCATTAGCAAATAAGTTATGCATTTGAGTTTATTTAAAACCGAAACCAAAGTGGTTTCGACACTGACCAACCTACGACCAGACAACTCCGACACATTTACTTCCTGATGACGACGTCATATTACTGCCGTACTGCCGTAGAACCTGTCGCTGTGTGTTTTCGCTGTGAACTTTGAATTCGCCGGCGCCGCTTTTGGCCACGAGAGTCGCACACGTCTATAACTGTGTGTCCACTATGATGACCAAGTTGAAAATGCACACCAGCCATACCATTCGTATAAACTTGTATGTGTGTGAATGTATCTCCTGTGAGAGGAGCGCAGGAGCGCAGGAGGACATCGTCAGTTGTCTCGCAGACGGCTCTTGACGCGCTGCGCTGCTTTTCGAGTTTATCCGCGAAAAGTTTAAATTTCACAGAAATAAAAAAGTTAAAAGTGCGCAGTTAATATTTTTAGGAACAAAAATCAATTGTAAGTTATTTATAAATATATTATTATAAATTTAAATTATATTATTCATGCTGACTCAACGATTTAATGCAACATCAAAGATCAAATTGTGCATAAATTGCAAAATGCAAACAAGATTTCATTGAATTTAATTGAATTCCGCACAGAATATCAACAAGCAAATTAATCCATAATTAGACATGAATGTTACTATTTAGAAACAAATCACTACTGCTGCATTTAATACAAATATCTGTTATTATATTGCACAATTGCAACATTCCAAGAATAGCAATATCAACCTTCAAACAATTTTTTAATTTTTGTTTTTAAAAAATCAACATTTTACAATAGAAGTATTGATTTTAGTTTATTTCTGTTGGTTGATAAAATATTAACCATTTTTTCTAAAAATATCCGGATCCTCTTCGGATTCGCACGACTTGTCACTCTCGGAGAATATCAGCGAATCCCACGTCAACAACGATCCAGAATCACTATCCGAATCAGAATCCGAATAAAATTCTATGTCATTACTCATTACTCTTCGTTGTACGTCGATAAATGTCGCAAGTTTATCATCAGGTGCAAAAGAAACATTTCTTCTACGTGAATCCAAAAGTTTATTCCTTTTTTCTTTAAATTTGCGCTTTTTTGCTGATATTTTGCTGCTGTTGATATCTGATCCATTTTTACGCGTGATAATAATTCTAGGCTTATTTCTGATGATGACTGTTGTAAAATTTGCTGCTGTTGATTAGTTTCTAAGTCGTTTTCTTGGTTTATAGTAAGAATAGTATCCGAATGACTTTGTAGGATTATAGGAGGTGGTGATAGGGTTGTTTGTGCGTTGAAGGAGAGTTCATCTTCGACTGCGCTTAGGCTTAATACAGAGAAGTGATTATCGAGTGGGAGGGTGAGAATTGGTGCGTCTTCGGATGTGGATGGATTGTCCGGGTCGGGATCGGTGGTGGTTTGGCCGCCACTAGCGGACCGGTTGCGTTTTCGCATGCGCAAGGTGGAATTGTGACAATCGACTTGAAGCATGGATATTTATACATTCATACGTCAAACGGTTGTAATATTTGACAATGAAGTTTTTAAAGGTTATGGTGGAAGCGCCACTAGCGACGTTTTGAAAGAATGAGTTTTTCTCGTTGAATTTTTGAAATATTTTAAGTTTTTTAAGAGTTTTGGATGCGCAATTAATTTATCGTTGATTTGACATATTTGTCAAAGTTGTACTTTTAATATTTTCAGAGATATTCATGTTTTACTAAGAATAAATTGTAATTTGACGGTAAATTCTTTTTTTTTTAGTTTAAAGTTAATTTTCTGTGGTCACAAATAAAAAAAAAGATTTTTGCCAAAGATATTTAATATTTTTAAATTTTTCTCTAAAAACAAATAATTTACAAAGAGAAATTAACGATATTAATACAATTTAATTTAAATTTATTTAAAAACTGCAATATTTTTGCAAAAAAAAGTTTTTTCTGTTTTTTGATTGTTTTTTGCTTAAAACTACAAACACATTGAGAATTTAAACGGTACACATGTTGGTAATGTTACTTTGAAACTTTCCCTTCAATTATCAATCATTGATTGGTGTTATTTCAATCAATTAGCTAATGAAATGAAATTATGAAAATTACTTTTCATCGATGACTTACTTTCATTACTAGATACTTACCTAATGAAACACTTTTATTTTTCGATTTTATCGGAGTACTTTTAATTTGTTCAAGTTGATGACGCTGTTTGGTGTTTTGGCCAAGGTGTCCGAGGACGCACACGCAAATCGCGAAACGCAACGCATCGCGCATCGAATTGTTCGAGCGTTTATCTAAGGTGTAGGTCGTGCAATTAATTATAGCACGCGTCGCATACGGATCGATTAGCCGTTTTAAATTGGCGATTATACGCGTTGTCCTTCAACTCGACCATTGCGGAAAAATAATACATACAAAATACGAAATGCTAATTTCCATTATTTCATTTGCAAATTTCCCATTATTACCTATGTCTATACGAATACATGTTTTGTTACATAGAACAAAAATCATTATCAACATCATTGTATTTTTCTGATACTTTGTATAAAATTGGTGAGAAAACTGTTAAAATCACTCAATTTCGACGTTTTCCCAGTCGTAAATCGTGTAATTATCTTGATTTATGATGATGCTACTCAAATGTTTGATTTTTCGATTAGTGCAGTGTTTTAATGTGAAAATAAGTATTATTTGGCCTACGAATTTATTGAATGGTATTCGCCTATAAAAAACAGTTGGAAAATTTCGAAAATCGCGTCAATGACGCATGCGATTTGTATTTATAGCATTAAGATGCGTATTTATACATTTTACCGAATGTTTTCGTTCGGAACGCATTCATATTTCACATTTAACGCGATAAATACAACTGTCAACTGTACAGGACATTAAAGAATTCAAAAATTCAAATTTCTAAAATTACAAGCATCAAATCAAGTTTTTAAGTAAATTTTGCTAAGTAAAGTCTATATTACAACATGAATTGCATAAATGTTTACATTTTAACTTGTAGAAACTGAAATTATTCATAAATAGCTATGAATTATAAATTTTTATCTTTTTTATCCACTAGATGGCGTCAGATGCAAGTTCAATTAGTTTAGTCTCAATAACAATCCGACAAGCTGTCTTGTTTACATTTTGGCTGATGAAAGCTATAGAATAGCCGCCAAAAAGGGCGGAGAATCAATGACTATGTATGTTTTAAACTCAAATAGTAAAAAAATATCTTTTTTCATTGTTTTTAAGTCGTAAAACATCTATAATATAAAAATGAATCGCAAAATCTGTTAGAAAGCGCATAACTCAACAACGCCTTGACCAATTTGGCCAATTCTTGTTTTAAAATGTTCGTTAAAGTCTACGAATGGTTTTTACGGCGAGAAAAATTCGAATAATTGCCGGGAAAACCCTAAAGACAGCCCTTTTCTATAGGATAAAAGTTGGCATTGAGATTCAATTATAGTTATAGTTAAATAGTTGAATCCGAGATGGCGCGCTGAAGTACATTATTAGCAATTCTTTATATAATTAATTTCTTTAAAATAAAATTGCGAATCTTATTGATAGAATTGACACATACTATGTCTAGAACAAGAGAGTAAAAACGAATTACATCTTTATTAAACACTACCCGGACGAAATCGCGGGCAAAAGCAAGTTTTAAATATTTTTACCACTTTACATCCGAATAATAACAAATAACTAAAGCCTTTTCGTCTAAACTTAGCCAAAACTTCCAAGCGCCGTTTAATTTTGTTTCCCGAAGCGTTAAAACCTCTAACCGCCTGACCGAAAATAAACAAACGTCCAACACAAAATTAAAAATAAAAAACCTACTCTACCACACATAAATCGAAATAATTCGACACACACAGATATTAACATGTTTATAAGCTCTAAAACTTAATTTAACACATAGAAACTAATCTCATATCGATTTATTCATACAAATACCAACGCCAGCAGTTAATTCGAACAAATTTTGACAATAATATTTTGTCATGTTGTCTAATTACGTACGCTGTGCGTATCGCAACGATAAAATTTTATGTTTGGCTAAATTGTGATCCGGTGTGATGCGTTCGCGCATATTATCTAATAAGTCAATGTCTCGGGCGATAAGCGCGCGTAATCCACATCGGACTGAAAAGTTCAAAAGTGCGAGCTGCCCTTTGACACGCTCGTAGTTGATGAGTATTTATAAACGCGCCGCTTATTTACGCTACGTATGTGATATGCATGCACTGATTTCGCTTTGAATTTTAATTCTCGACGATTTAGTCGTTCATTTTCTCTGCTCGCAAACAGTACAGTAAAAATTCACTTTTAAAAATTTTAATTTTTCGGATTAATTTTTTGATATTTTAGGAGCACCACCTTATCCACATCATCCCTCATCGAGAGTCAGCCATATTGAAATGGGAAACATGGAGAAACCATCCCTGCAAAAGATGTTAATCAACTTCTGTTCAGAATTTGGTGGAACTTACATTTTGGTCTTCCTTGGATGCATGGGATGTGTTGCTGGACTCTCCGGAGGTTCTATTCCTCATGAACAAATATCTTTTGTGTTTGGTTTTGCTGTTTTGATAGCTGTTCAGGTAATTAATCTAAAAATAAGTTTTTATTATTAAAATTTGTATTAATATGATGAATTTTAGTGCTTTGGTCATGTTTCCGGCGGACACATTAACCCCATAGTGACTGTAGCGTCAGTTGTGTTAGGCAACACACCGATCGCAATGGCTCCGGTATACATCCTCGGACAATTTGTCGGAGCGATCGCTGGTTACGGTTCCGTTATGCTTGTAACACCAAGCGTGCATCTAGGCAACCAAGTTGTCGGCGGTGTCAAATCTCCGGGTGTATGCTCCCCGGCTCTCAACCCTCAATTATCACCGGTTCAAGGACTCGCAGTTGAATTTATTGCTTCTTCTATGTTGATTCTTGTGTGCTGTGCTGTTTGGGACAGGAAAAACAGCGATAAACATGATTCTGTCTCGGTTCGTTTTGGTCTTACTATTGCTGTGCTTGCAATGGCGGCTGGGCCCTACAGTGGAGCCAATATGAACCCTGCGAGGAGTTTTGCGCCTGCTTTACTTAATGGCGACTGGAGTAATCACTGGGTGAGTTAATTTAGTGAATATTTAATGAAATAAATTTAATTTTTTTTTTTGTGTGTAGATCTACTGGGTAGGTCCATTGTTGGCTGGAACTGTCACAACTTGGGTTTATAAGTATTTGTTTAATACTCCACCACCAGAGGACAAGCTACCCGAGTCAATTCCTTTGAATTGAACATAACCTCTAGCGGAAACCCTAAAAATGTCGAATTTTAGAATTATTGCGCGCTTGGGCGTCTAGTAATTGTACATTTCTTATGTACGTTGTTTTGTTTTGTTTGTTTTGTTAAATCTGACACATTCATCGAATTTATATTTTGCTCAAAAGTTGAAGATCTGATTTTTATATTTGTTATGTAATAATTTAACTAAAAATCTACTTTTTTTAAATTTAAATTGAAACATAACAAAAACAATCACAAACAGTCAATGTGCATAAAAAATTATCAAGGATAACAAAGAAATATCTATAGTTTTAATACGCTGCCAATGAATAACTGTTATGATTTTTTACATAAAAACGTGAATAAAATCGCAAAATAATTGTTTAACTTTACTTTACTGTCTGGAACAAGTAAAATATTTATCAATAAACATTAAATAAATCTAGAATAATGATAATTTAATTTATTTAAGGAGTATTTCATCATTTACGTGTGATTTTCGTGATAAATATGACAAACTAAGTTTTCATTTGGTGTATTTTGGGTTGCCTATAGTAAATCATATTTATTCAAGAATTAATCTGCCGAACTTTGTCAATTTGCATACTTTCTATCGGATTATCTTTAACACCATATAAAATTAGCATTAATAAATAATTTAAGCAGTTTAAAATTATATAAATCATATTAATATTCAAATAAATGTTTTTAATCATTGTAATATTTATGATGGTTGCAAACTTTTCAATGAAATTCACTAAATTTTTTGTTTCTGATGAAACCGTGAGATTGTAGCGACTTTTGCAACTGCAATAAATATGCAATGTGTACACCGGCTGACCTTGCCAGCAATGCTAACACGATACTTTGGAAAGATGATGATCATGACCAAGGTCCAAACAATGAATTAAATTGCCTTACATTAAATAAATACACGCAATATTAAAAAAACTAAAAAGTAAAACTATAAATATTCCACACTTGAACTATTCAACTATTGAACTGATTCAATGAACCGTAATAAATCGTGTTGAAATGCATTCCATTGAAGATCAACAAAAAGCAATGAATCCTCAACTATTGACGTTGACATGCACCCAGATGCCACCCCTTATTGCCGATGACGTCTGCAACCCAACACACACACAATTATTTACGTGTGAGTGTCGTCGCCGTGTGCAGATAGGCAAACAGTCAAACACGATCATAACAAGAGAAACACGAGGAGGATGTCGGGGGTCGTCGATCGTCGAGACGACAGTCAGCGTTTGAAGCATTGCGATGGGGTTGAAGGCATGATTCGGTATCGCACCGACGCAGAGAGCCGCGTCGCGCCTCGCTTGGATTATTGATTCTGTCTATTCTACTCTGGCTGCAATTTGTAAAACCTGCGCATGCGCACCACAAACAAATCACAAACATAAAATAATCGTCAAAGGCACTTTTAAATTTGTTTATGGCTGTAATTGAGTAATTCTAGACTGTAAAGTCTGAAATCTTGCTTGTTGAGTAAATAAAAATAAAGTGAGTGAAGGTAAAGGAAACCTTACAAGTTTTTTTCTGCTTTCGGGGTCTTCTCGCCCTTGCAAACTGCACAACTTGCATTTTTCCCACCATCTTTATTCTTGTTTCACTCTTCATCTCTTTTCTCTCCTCACGTGTAGAATACAGTCTCAAGAGCAGAGTGTGCTCGGAGTTGTACTCGCGCAGCGCGCCGGTTTTCGTTTCGTTTCGTTCCGTCCGCCCGTTTAGTCGGTGGTCGCTTGGCCGACGCTGTTCAGTCGGTCGAACACGTTCCTCGCGTTTGGTCCGCGCCGTGCCACCACACCAGGCAACTCTTCTCTCTTCGCGGAACGCTGTAACATTTGTTTACACAACAAAAGAACACCTTTGAGACTTTGTATTTATTAAAAAAAATCAAACAATATTCATGTGCGTGTGATAATTTGTTCGTTTTGCGTGTGTAATCGTGATTGTGATCGATTTTGCAAATCACCTTGGGCTTGAGACGAGCGAAGGAGACAATTTCGTTTCGCCAGAGCGCAGCATTAAGAACGTTTTCTTGCTCTTCGACTCGTCGCACGTCTTGTTTCCAACCGTGAGAACCAACATAACTTGACCAGTCGGTTTCTAAGCGCGTTTGAAAACTTTATAGATTGAATAATTTTCCGCTGCGGCAAATCCTCGTGAGATATTTGTTGTGACGTGCCTGTAATTGATTTTATCAGAGTCTAATTTCGTGAAGCAGCGAACGCAATTAAACCGGAGGCAGTTGAAGCACCACGCTGAAGAATAACGAGTGGACAGTTTTTAATCAACTCGACGACCACACAGAGGCTTTTTACTCGGAGTGGATCGGCGTGCAATCTGCGCTCGAGTGTGTTCACCGGCTGAATTAAAACCTTCCAGCGGAAAAATACCGGCTTCCTTGACGAAAATCACCGAAAACAAGTCAAAAAAAACCGAGACGACGATAAAAACCAAGTGAAGAAAACGCAAGAGACACGCAGAGATCATTTATAATCTGAGGTGAGTGTCTTTTTCTCCTGACGCGCGCAATTTTTCATTACTTTTTCATCGCATTACGCGCGTGTTTTGCGGTAAATGTATGAAATGTAATTAGAATATGTCTTTGTAACTTATTCGTTTCTTTTTGCTGACATGTTGACACTTGTCAGGTTGATAAATGAAGCGTTACAATAAATATTCTCTTAAATTTTCTATTCTTTTGTTTCGGTTGTTTATTTGCATGTTTGCAATCGTGACACGCCAATAGGAAACGTGATCAACACCCGTTAATTTAATTACGCTCCCGGTACTTTCAAAACCAATTATCAATTTCTCGTAAATTTCATTTCAAGTCACCGTACGCTGTGATTTTACTACTTTCCAAACAATTTACGATTGGCATAAAACATTTGATTGTCAAGTTTTTTTTATAATTTTACGATGAATGAAGATTAATGATAATCATAATGATTCAAAAATTCGTCGTCGTGGGGCGGCGCGCGCTCGTTTGTCACGAATTTCATAAATTCACATTTCGCACATTGCAATGCAGCGCGCGCAAAGGTATGCGCCACGGATTCGTGAAAGAGCGCAATGCATAAAATGAGCGATGGATTAATCATAATTTGGCTTGGCTGGGCGTATGGAATTTCATACATTGGGGATGATTACAAATGTGACGCATTATATATTCCGGAAAAGTTATGTGTTATTGAATGATCAATGTCAATCACTGTGACATGTGAGGTTAGGCAACTTTAATAACATGAAATTGAGTAAAAGTCGAAATTTTGCGTTTAACTCTGTGGAAAAACAACAGTTTCTTATCAAGTTAAGTGGTATAAGTCGCTAATGCTTTGTACTCGTTAATTTTGTAAATAAATTAAGCTTTTTTCCAAATATGAAATATGTGACTCGCAATCGTGGCAGCCAGAAGTATATATTTAGGTGTGTTATTAATGTCTGTCACTGATAACACTCAATATAAGCTAATTTACCTTATCAGGTTATAAAAAGTGGCCTGACTAATTAGTCTTTTTGTTTCTTTTGCCATTTTTGGGCTTAATTTTGTAATATAATTTACGATTTTGTTTCAAAAGAAAGGAAAAATGTTTAAAATGCACTTTTGCGCCATCTAGGGTTGAATTTTAGAACTTTAACTGTGATTAACTCTTCATATTAACTTTCAAGTCTTATTTTGCTCTCTTCTAGTTACATTTTTGTGATAAAAAGTTGTCTATATCATTTTCCTTTACCAGAACTACTTTTATACCAAAATTTATAAAAATTGCTTAAATAGTTTTCGCGTGAAAGCGTCACAAACAAACAAAAACACTCATATTTCCATTTATAATATATCTTTCCATTTAGTAAAATTATTATTTTAATTATATAAGTATTTTAAGAGGTCTAAATAACCAAAATACTTAATTAAACCCTGGCAAATGTATGTTATTGTGTTATTATGTCATCGAATGAAAACACGTTGATGAAAATTAGCGTGTCGCGACGCGCACCTGTTTCGCGACGTAAGCCACACATACCCGTGCTTAGATTTTCATGACTTAAGCCGTATGTGCGCGCTTAATCTAAGTATTTAAGTGCGCGTTTGCGCGTCATGCTTGGAACGTCACCAAAACAATATTTTCATAATTAATTTCGGGCCCAAATTCTCAGACGCAATGCTGATATTAATATCGTGTTGATATATTAGCACAAGCACAGGCACAGGCATAGAGACAAGCTGAAATAACTACAATGAAGTGTAAATTTAGAGCACAAAAGTTGTTTTGAGGCGAGTTTCCATGTTATGCAACCCAAAACACAAAGAATATTTGCTGTTTTATTAAATTTTAGCAGTAAACGAGTTATATACATTTTAACGCCATCTATAGTTGAATTATATAATTATAACTATGATTAAATCTCTATAACAACTTTAACCCCCAAATTTTCACCCTTCTAGTAATATTTCCGCAACCAAACTTTACTATATCATTCACTAGACTATTCTGAATATTTTCTGCAAATTTCATCAAAATCCGCCGACTCGTTAAGCAGTTAATAAAGAACACACATACATACATGACTTTTAAGTGTATATACATGTCGCTGTGGCTTCTAATGCTTTCCGACAGTTTTAACCGCTCACTTTATAGGTTATGTGTGTTTATCATCTTTATAACTTCCTTGTTGATGCATTGTAAAGGCTTTGAATGTTTTGCAGCGCTGGTAAATGGTTGTTTTGAATGTTAATGTCATTGCATGCTCTAGTAACAGGTCAACAATAAATTCCGGTATACGACACTCGGAAGTGCATGCGATTTTTATCACGCATTTTGCGTTTTAGACGTGACATTATATAAACCATGCGCGATCTGGTGCATGGCGCATGCGTGACGAATCATAACGACGTTACAAGATAAGTACACTTACTTGTAACGCGAATAACTTTGAATACAACATGGTTTTCTTTGTTTTTTCTTTGTTTCGTCACTCAGGTATACTCGTAGGTTGTGTAGGTACCGTACTTCTGGTTCTGGTGGCTTTAATTGTCTTCGAGGCTTTTAATTGTGACAAAAATGCATTATCCACAGTTTACGGCCGAGCGTGTTTTGTTTTTCAGCGCGCGCGCGATCGCAGGCGGTCGTCATTACCGTTCTAATTGCCTCATTATCTCTGCTTTTCATCGACTGCGTCGACAATGGCGACCGGCGATTCGTTGAGATTCCGTGAAACGCTTTTGAAATCTTCCGTTTGAAAATTTCCGTCAATCTCACGAGATTTTTATCTTTATCAGTCAACGCGTTAACAACTTTTCGAGTTTTAATTAATAGCAAAACAAGTTTTAAACTAAAAACTTTAAAACTAAAAATATCATTTGCTTCTACTTGATATTAACTTTTGCTCCGGTAGTTTTTATTAAAAACTAGCTTTTGCCCGCGATTTCGTCCCAGTAGTGATTAATAAAAATGTAATTTGTTTTTACTCTCTTGTTTTCGACATAGTATGTGTCAATTCTCTCAATAAGATTCGCAATTTTATTTTAAAGAAATTAATTATATAAATATTGCTAATAATGCACTGCAGCGCGCCATCTCGGATTTAACTATTTAACTATAACTATGATTGAATTTCAATGCTTATTTTTATCCTATAGAAAAGGGCTGTCTTTAGGGATTTCCCGGCAATTATTCTAATTTTTCTTGCTGTAAAAGCCATCCTTGGACTTTAACACACATTGTAAAAAGAGAATTGGCCAAATTGGTTTAGGCGTTGTTGAGTTATGCACTTACCAACAGATTTTGCGATTCATTTTTAGATTATAGATGTAATTAATTTTTATTTTCTTGTTTTTTGGACCTAATATGTGTTGATTCCATCAATAAAAATCGTAATTTTATTTTAAAGAAATGAGAAAAGCTAATAATGCACTTTAGCAACTTTCATCCCTTATTTAACACCCTTTAAATCATAATTTTAAATATTTTAATACATATTCTGCTATTCTAGACCAAGACGAATCCAAAAATACATAGATCATCAAAATCTGTCTTGCCGTTCTTGAGTTATAAATGCTGTAACTAACACGACTTTTTTTCCTGTAAATACTCATATATATCCGAAATATAATATATTCGACGCACGTCGTGCGACGTGCAACATACTTCTGATTGTCTCCACCACTAACACCTGGACACACGCGCCTCTTTACGTCTATTATTTACATGTTTGCGTATTTAATTTGGATATTTACCGAAGAGCATAACGGTTTCGTTTATCCGGACAAATTTGTTAAGTCCACAAGTCGCTTCGATCGCTCGTAAGTCAAACACCTTTTTGTTTGAGTGTTTGCATAGAGTGATGATGAGTAGTTCGACATTAATAGGATTTATTGAGTAATGGAATTAATTTATGTAACAGAATATTGAGTTACGCGGATTTACCGACTGAAAGTGATGACTTGATTAATTTGCAAACACCGTCAACCTTGAACTGTGCGACATAGAATTCCTACTTAATCAAAAACGAATTTATTCGTTTCTACCATGAAAATCTGAATAGGTTTTCAGCGGATCCAATTAACCCTATGCAACTTATAATACACCATGAAAATTACATCTGCGCATGCGTGCTTTACTCGCGGTTTAATTATGTTGATACCATTTCAACACCAATAACCTAACCTCATAAAAAAACTATTCTTGTTGTTCCTAATCAAACACTGTGTAGAATATTCAAATCATTCTTATCGCACGTAATCATTATGTAATGGAGCATAAACAATCGTTTATAACTGTTGAACTTCAATTGTGTGCAGTAATAGAACAAATGTGCCAGGCGTGAATTGCAAATCGCAAGCGTAAAACTCATTAATCGGTCAAAAACAATAGTTTATGCGCGTAGACTTAAAGCGGCGTTAAATATTTAAATTGAACATTAATAGCAGCAGCACATGCAGCACAATTTACATCGTACCTAGCTCGGTATAGCTGAATGTAGCGACTTAATTCAGCTGTAAACGTCCCGATGATTTTATCACGTTATAAAATCAGCTGTAAATTTGTGTCAGGCCGTCAAGTCTAATTGCATGTTATTGTTCAATATTATTATAATAAATTGAAGTGGGTTTTTCTCGGTTTTGATTGAGACGCGGCGCACGAGTGTATTATGATTGTTGTTATTCAATGTTCAATGTTGTAATATGCATGGAATATGAAATTATTGTATGGAATGTTGTTTGTTAAAATTTCTATAGTGGTATAATACAACATATATTTTCAAAGAGGATAGAGTATAATTTATTTATAAATTTAGAAAAATAAATAAATTTTCAGTAAAAAAATTTTAATAATAAACTGGAATAACAAATTAAATATAATAAATACTGTGTAAATTATGTTTAATTTTGTGTTAGGTTTATTGTAGCGCCATCTGGGTTCGACTGAAGTAACTATAACTATGATTTATTTGCTATTTAAACTTTCAACCCTTATTTCACCCTCTTAAAATTTTATTTT